TTGAAGGGGGGGGGGGGGGGTCCTGATTCCTACCATATCGTATGAAGCCCCTATCATATATTCAGAACCTTCCCCACGACCACAAAGAAACCAAGGTTGCTTGTATTTTCGAAGCAATCTAAACCTATCTAAACAGAGCTAGGGCTACCTTTCTATTTGAATCATATGACATATCAAATTTGGCCCCTAACACTGCTGACTTACAACCGAACACCAGCCAGCTATGACCGAACCTTCCGTTCGCTAAATTAAAATTCCCTGTAACTTAACTCAATGATTAAATGTTTCAAACATTTGGCTGGCGCAGCCAACCAGTAACCAACTTCACCGTATACCAGCCAACCACAGCCCACCTTGTACCCGATCGACCTACTCCAAACATGGTTGGGGGGAGGGGGGCAGCGTTTGAAGGCCATTTTCGGCTGTGTGTGACGGGGGCTTGGCTTGCTACGGTGACAGTCTTTTAACTCCATGATTGAACAAATTAAAGATACAAAGGATTGCTAACAGACATTGGTATGGGCATTTGATAACAGTTCATTCTTATACCATTAACCTTCGTGACCACCTACATGTAAATATCTAATGTATTTACTAATAGTAAGACAATGTAAACGGACCAAATGTGAGACACCTTACACCTGTTTATCGTGTCAAAGGTCAACGTTCCCAAGGACGTTTGCAGGGAACAAAGCCGGTCAGCTTTCTAGTGACCTTGAATGCTACTTTGCAGTTTTTATCAATTTCTACTATCGTCAATAGCTTAATAGAAAATAAGCTATTGTCGTCTGCAGTACTAAGGCCACAGCAAGTGAATTTTTTGGATGACATCCTTAGAAGACTCCAAATCTAATGCGAGCGGGCGAAAAAAAAAACAAGGCGGGCCGAAAAAAACAAGGTTCCTACATTTTCAAATGTTGACTCAATCATTGTACAAATGGTTTCGATTCAGTAGGAACATCACATATACACAGCCAGCATCACATATCACTGCATCAAAGTAAGAAACAAAACATTAAATCAGAGCCTTTTCTTGTCTCCTCTCTGGAAAGTTATCTGCCATCCACCTTCCGGCATGGCAACAGACATCTTTGCCCATTTTCGGCATGTTGACCACTGTCAGAAGGCAACAAAATTTCTTCTTTTTTTTCTCCAAAATCAGGCGAAAATTAAAGCGCGCGTTGATGTCATCCATAAATATTACTTGTTGTGGCCTAAGCTAGCATGTGTATAGTATCGTCTATGTACAATATATTTTGCATATTTAATTTGTAACCTTAATCTATGAATCATGTTACAATTTTGACTTTTCACTTCTTGTTTAGAAGGAAAAGTGTACGTACACGTCACACCGCCAGTGAAGGCGATCCCATGTCTGACACCATTTGGTATGAAGCTGGAGACATATCTGCGTATGGCTGATATTCCGCATGAGACTATATATGGGAGGAGTATGGGCCCAAAGGTTTGTTTCTTGTTTTTTTTTACTTCACTGTAGTAAGTACATCGTTTTCGCTTGTGGGTGTGCCCAGTCATGTCTGATTGAAAATTCGTGTTTGTGTTTACTTGTACGTATGTTTATGTGTCACTTTGTGTTTGTGTGTACTACGATTGCCTTCTTTAGTATATCTGATATAGCCTCTACCAGGCTTCGAGAGGCGGCTGAAAAGAGTAGAAATCAGCTAGCCAAATATAGAGATATCATGCCAGGGGATCCGGAGTTGGTCCGGTAGAGAGAACTGTTTGGTCTACCGCGGACCAACTCCCCCGACATGTTATCTCTCTATTTGGCCTATTTCAACTTTTTTGAGCCGCCTCCTGAAGACTGGTAAAGACTATATCAGATCAGATAGAATGCCTCCAAAGATAATCCGTAAAATTCAGTTTTTTTTTGTTTTTGATCATTATTTTGGGATGAAACATTGTTGAGAATCAAAACCTAAATATTGTCAGGGTAAAATCCCGTGGATTGAGTACAACGGTGAAGCCATGGGAGATTCTGGTCTCATCCTGGAGTTTCTGAACAGGGAGAAAGGTGTGGACCTGAACCAGTCCCTGAGTGCTGCAGACAAGGCTGTCAGCAGGGCCTTCACTAAGATGGTGGAGGAGAACACTTACTGGTACAGTACCTTTTACATTCAATTTGGCCACACCGAGTTAATTTTATGGATGGCATCCTCGGAAGACCCCCCAAACTAGTGCGCGTAGGCAAATAGAAAAAGATTCCGGCCAAAAATTAAAATGCCACTAAACCATAGGAATACGAAGCTGGTGTTGTGAATTTACGTCAGTACATAGCGACGTTTACGACAAGCCGGTACATGGCTTTTTGCGGAATTTATGAATCGGCACTGTACGTATGTACTGAGTTCTTGAGTCGTGGAGCTTTTGTGCCATCGGTGCCATCCTCCAGGGTTATACCACCGGCTCCGTGTTGTCGCTAACTACCATGGACTACTCAGGCCTAGAGGAAGGCCAGAGCCTTGGGGGGACGTGATGTTTCTTTTTTTGAGAACAGGCGAAAATCAATGCGCGCGCGTAAGTTATCCATAAAATTAAATCAGTGTGGCCTTACTGGCAAACAAACCACCGTCTTCACGAAACTTTTATCATTAGTAGCGATCTTACTTCGTAGTTATCGCATGTTACACAGCAAGGCCACGTTTTTTATAAAGTTAAGTAGCCATGGTTATATGACGGACTCGCGTTTTGACCTTGCAGTCTTTTAAGATTAAAAAGGTCGGTTTACATCTAATAAGTAGGTATATTCCTATCGTATTTTATAGCATCGTGCATGTGTGCATAGGGATATGTCCACTATCCCTAGGCCCTCTCTCTTCTTCTTTTGCGGACGAAAATCACATGTTTGTTTAAATTCATATCGTACGTGATGCATGTAGAAAGAAATGACATTATTTCTTGTGATTTTTGGCAAAATAGAATTTGTTACCTGAATTACCAACTGTTTAAAGCCCCATGTCACATATTCAAGTTTGTGAGCAGTCTGACCAGATTTAGGATAAACAGAATAGAATTTGAGTTAAATTTGAGTCAAACTTTAATGGCGACCACGCCCCAACCTATTCCCGAACATATGGCCGAACCTCCCGTCCAAGGTTTTAAATATTTTGAAACATTCGGCTGGTGAACAGTAGCGGACCTGGTCATTCAACACAAGCCAACCACAGTCGACCTAATAATATCCTTGCTTCTAACTCCTAACCATGGTTGGTTTGGGGGGGGGGGCGTTGGCTTCTTTTTGAGAGGCCATAGTCTGTTATGCGTGACACGGGCTAAAGACTAAATTAAATATAAACTGCTTTGTTGTCCCTCTATTTAGGGGACTATCCCAATACAGGTGGATAGACAACTTTGACAAACTGCAGGAACTGTTCGAGGTTCCGTGGATCGTCATGATTTTTCTGAGACGTGCAAGAAGCAACACCAGACAGAAGCTTATGGCTCACGGCATCGGGCGTCACTCCAGGGAACAGATCGAAGGCATCATAGAAAAAGACCTCAATGCCATCTCAGCCTTTCTCGGTACGCTTGCAAACCCCTATGAAGCCCCTATCATATATTCAGAACCTTCCCCACGACGCTTGCAAACATTTCCTTAAGTTTTTAAACGGGTACATTGTGTAACATTTTTGCATTGAAAATGAAACATTTTAATTGAAAAAGTCTTCTTTATGTGATTGGCACTTACTTCTACTTTTTAACATATTTGTGTATTTACCCATCGGCTCTGATATATATGGCTCTAAAATAGCCCACAAGAGGCACACTAAGTTTGTGGTACCACCACAAAATACCAGAATGTAAACAAACATGGCTGACAGCTGTGTTTCCAGCAACATGTAGCTTTCCAACACACCTGTAAGGTGTCATATTTTGTCAACTCCACTTCCAGAATGAGACATACATGTATTTGCAATGGAGTAGGGTTCAACTAACTTTGTAAGAAACGACCAGAAAGTTGACTTTTTGTATCGTCCTTATACCATAATGCAGCTTTAATGGCACTACTTTGGCACTAGTAGTACTGCACATGTGCACCAAGCATATTAGCGTACAGCTTATTGTGTATTATGCCCATCCCAGCATGATATTGAAGGTTAACCCGAGGTGTATATGGTGAGATAATCTCTGGTCAGGTGCGATAACCACCGAATAAACCACCAAGTGAGCGAAGCGAACGAGGTGGTTTATGAGGTAGTTATCGCACCTGATCAGGGAATATATCACCATATACACCGAGGATGCGCCTTTTGGCTATATGATAATGCATAATAACAACTTTTATTTGTTTTTGTCAGGTACCAAACCGTATCTGATGGGAGAGGAGCCTACTGAGGTGGATGCAGCAGTGTTCGGTCAGCTGTCAGAGATTGTTTGGACAACATCCGGGTCCTACCTGCACAGGATTGTCACTGTGGACTGTCCCAACCTGCTGGCCCACTGCAACCGTATCAAGGACCGCTATTGGTCAGATTGGGATCAGCTGACTGGAAATACCAACCAATAAGAACGTGTCATCGTTGCAGCGTTAACTTAATATTACAAACCTTGTTTGTGTCAATGTCTACTTTACTGAAGAAAAAACATTTTCTATAATTCTTCTTCAAACATATTTCACCATATGTGGTGCTGTAGCAAATGTTTCAAGTTGTAGTACAGAGTCGGAGAGTCTGGCAAAAGTAAATATGTCTTCTTAAGAATAAACAGAGCAGTACTTTTTTTAAGCTAGACCGTGTGGATAGTATAGTCGTCATCAATACGATTATCGTATTGTACTATTTTTTGTTTAATAAAGTTTATGATGTCAAAGTTTGAAAATGTAGGAATCTTGTTTTTTTTTTAGCCCGTCTTGTTTTTTTTAGCCCTATCGCATTATATTTGGAGTCTGCGGAGGATGTCACCCATAAAATCTACTTGCAGTGGCCTGAGTAACTACACGTGCGCCATGGGACATGGAGTAAAATGATGACATCGGCCCTATCTTCTCTGTGACTATGATTGATGCTATCAACAACCGTCGGCCGGCTGAGTATTTGCATATCTCTTCAAATAATTTACATGTATATGATGTAAGCAAAAACAGCGGTGGTCCGTATACATACATGTTGTCGGCTGTAAGGCGGATGATTTTCGTTCGATTATGTGCCGTTTTTAGATCACCAAGGTCATCCAAAGGTAGTTGGCAATGTGACGGTCCCTTATGTCTTCGTGAGTGTAAACGTGATTAGAGTAATATGTAGATGACGTGACCGGAACCATGCATGCACTGATCTGACGTACTGTGTGAAAGTTTGACACCACCAAAACGTAGTAAGGTAAGTAAGTGCGTGCAAGGTAAGTACACGTAGCAGTTCATATATATGTTAAAAAGCAGTTACTCATGACCTTCATGACCACGTAGATTTCATAATAAAAGCAACCGTATTTTGCCAAACGTTTTTTTTTATTCGCACGCTCGCATTAGTTTAGGGGTTCCCAGAGGATGTCATCCATATAACGTTAATCAAATTATCATTGCCTAACTTGAAGTATTTTTATTCATTAATGTCCAGATGTCCCACGGTACTTGTAAGCTTCCCAGTGGAGGAGGCAATGATGTCATAAGAATAGACCAGAAGAAGGCGATGGAAGATTCCATTTCTTTAAAGCGGGTAAAGACTTTTGGGACAGGGGTGATTTAACCCTAAACAGTACACCTGGGGTCCGCGCGGACCCCAGCACTATATATTCTGTAATATCTTTTTTGTTTCTAAAGATTTTTTTCTGAAATTTTAGGTAATTGTCACCCACAAATTTGTCTCTCAATACAGTGCAGAAAACTCCGTTTCTACCATTTATAAAAAAAATTATATCTGATTTTCTTTTGGGGTCCGCGCGGACCCCAGCCGGCTTTTGATCGTAATGGATACACTGGCGTTCTTATACATTACCTTATTTCCGTTTTTATATGTTTTTATGCACTCATCGTATGTCTACCAAGTTTTCAGAGAATGGTGTACCCCAGGTGTACAGATTAATCAGTCCGGGAAGGTGTTCTGTTGAGGGTTAAAAAACAGTCCATTTGTACTAGAGGCGGTAGGTTCATTTTTGGTATGGGGGATATGGTGAAGCCACCTGCTGCATTTGCTCCCGAGCAAATATTGGTCTTTCTAGTCCATTTTACCTCTTATTAAAAATATTAATTTACAGATGTCCCGCGGTACTTGTAAGCTTCCCAGTCGAGGAGGCTATGACGTTATAAGAATAGACGACCTGCGATGCCGCACAGTGATTGGCTTTCGTCAACACGAGATTGGAACAAAACAGGTGTGTGAAGTTTGCTAGGACACTTGTGAGGTCAGAGTACAGAGACTGGCTACCTCCACAGAGATCACAAATAACTGGCCGTAGTACTAGAAACAGCGAGATGCTAGACTGCCCAAGAGCAAGAACGAATAGATATAAGAACTCGCCTATACCGTTTATGGTCCAGCTCCTCAATAACTATGGACTGAACCCCTGACTGTTGTCTTTTTAAATGTAGTACACTGTTTCTGTATCAAATGCTGTCAGGGAAATTTATAATGTATTGAACATGTATTTTTATTGGTTTGTTAATCGTACGCCCATATTGATTGCAAACCTGTAGTTTTTAATATACTACTGTTTTTGTAAATTGGTCTACAATTCAGTTTATTTTAACTGCGAAGAACCAATAAATCCATCTTGAATCTTGAATCTTGAAGGATGTCGTCATCAGTCTTCGTCTGGGCTGCGATGTCCGCATGGCGGGAAAAAGCGATGACGTCAGCGATTCCGTGAACTACAGTGATGTTTGGAAAGACGTCATCAATTACGTGGAGTCAACATGTTTTAATTTGGTGGAGAAACTGTCGACTGATGTGGCCAGGATTTGTATCGCTCTATACAAGGTACTGGTTGTTTGAGTGTGTAGCTATTTATGTTTACCGAAGGAAACATTGTTTTTGCTAAGTTTCTTCCTCTTCTTCATCTCTGACCTGACCAATGACATGATTTGTTGACGTCTTTCACCATGGTAACTGGTGTTGGGTTATAATGTTGCAATTTCATGGTCTGTTCTGCTCCTGTCACCATATACTAGTAGTACATGTATGTGAATGTGTTTGAATAAGAATCAACAGAGCAGACCATGCCCGAAGGTACGCTGTACAGTATGCATTTGCTTTGCAAATGTTACTTCTCTATTTATTTATTTTAAATTATTTCTGTTTAATCTAATAAATACAGCGTGTACACACTCAGTGCTTGACGCACTGCTTTTCAGGCTATTGTATGTTGGGAGCTTTTGAACGTGTTTCAAACTAACAGAAACGTCTGCATATATAGCCTCTTATCATTACAAATGGTTCAAACAAATTAGAAAATAAATTTACTTCAATCTAACGTATTGCTGGTGATCATTGAAGTGGGACATACTACAGAACGAAATATAGCATTTCATAGAAGAACTTCAAAAGAACTTTATTGCACACAATAATATTGCACATGGTGCAATGGATAGCAATAAAACATTAAAAAAAGCAATAAAATAAATGTGTTCAATAAGACCTAATTTAGAATAAAACCTAACATATCCTAATTACTCAAACAACAAGGGCTAGCACAAGTCTTTGATAAAGTATTACAAAGAGGTTCGGTATTTTTTCTGATAAAAACAATATTTCATATATTTACCTACTTTCTCATCATATGTGCTTCATTTGAATGTCTAGGTACCGTGGGTCCAAGTCCGAGTCCACAAACCATTGGCCGCGCATTTCTGTAACTCCGTCGGTGTCGAGATAAAGAGAACACCGGAGGATTTTAACGACAGCGTGGTCCATCTCTCCCTCGGCTCTAACATCCAGCCTAGAAAGAATCTGAGAGACGCCATCGCCTTCTTAAAGAAGAAAGTCTTGGTGCTCAAGATGTCTTCACCATTCCTTACCCCGCCTCAGCTGCAAACTAACCAGCCGGATATCGTCAACATGGCGGTCCAAATCCTGACGGAAATGTCGCCAACACAACTGAAAACCTTCACGTCGGGGATTGAAAATGAGCTGCTGCGCGTGCGAGACCCTGACAACAAACACGGGCCCCGTACAGTCGACATCGACATCTCTCTCTGGGGGTCAGAAGTGTTGGAATACGACGTTGTCAGCATCGATGAAGAAGGGGCCAATCTCAACTCGCCTAACGTTGTCAGCATCGATAAAGAAGGGACCAATCACAGCTCGCCTAACGGCCACGTCAGCATCGATAAAGAAGGGACCAATCACAGCTCGCCTAACGGCCACGTCATCACAAGGAAGAACGTGCCCGACCCAGACATCCTTAGGTTTGCTCATGTGGCCGTTCCATTGGCTGAGATCTCTCCCCACCTGAGGCATCCAACCAATGGCAGCACGCTATCCTCCATCGCCAGGGACATAACGGGCCGCGAGGATTATGCTAATACATTCCCAATCGTGGAACTCTTCCGTTAAATAGGCCAGACTGACTTGATTTTGTGGATGACACTTACAAATAGCCTCTATCGTGGCTTCAGGAAGTGGCTGGAAAGAGTAGAAATTGGCCAAATAGATAGATTCTTTATTGACACAACAAAAAAAAGTACAGGGACTTTTGCATGGTCTTCTACAACTTAACTTAAGATCTAACAAAGCTAAATACATGTGTGAATAACGTCATCTTACGTACAGAGTATATGTATGCTGTAACAGTAAAGGTTAACTATTCTCTAACATGTGTTCTCTAAGATCGAAACATTCATTAATGTATTTTCCTATTTGAACACTGTATAGATGATACGCCAGAAGAGTTGCCCCACTAAAGAAAGTGGCAAACTGTTTTCTTAGCGTGGACAATTCATTTGTTTATTTGGCCAATTTCTACTTTCCAGCCGCTTCCTGGAGCCTGGTAGAGGCTATATGACATTAACTGGGCACAATCATCATGTTATACGATTTCGGTAAAGCTATGTGGACCTATTTGGTAAGGTTGCAGTGAGATGCGTAGATTAGAATAACGCTGCAATATAACTTTGGGCGGCAGGGGGCTGTAAATGGTCTGATCATGAATTTAAGGTGTTCAGAGAATATCCAAGGTTTTCCATGTAAACTTGAAAGAAAGTTTGGATGACTACTTTTTGTACAACATTATAGAAACACTTTAGCGATATTTGCGTCTATTTTGTTGTGATTTTTTATAGACAAGGCCACAGCAAGTAATTTTTATGAATGACATCAGCGCGCGCATTGAATTTCGCCTAAATTAAAAAAAAAAACAGAAATTTTGTTTGCACCTGACAGTGGTAAACATGCCGAAAATGGCCCAAATGGCATGTCTTGTCTTGTCATGCCGTAACGTGGATGACAGATACATATGGAGATGGGAGACAAGAGAAAGCTATGTTATGTTCCCACTTAATCAATACCATCTGTACGGTGATTGAAAACTTATATTTTTCACATAGTTGTTTCAGTGACAACGGATGTTGTAATATCATGACGTTTCATCTGTGTTGGAAGTTTCATCTTTAGAGTTTAAACTTAAGATCCAACACAGAAAGTTTTCTCACCTAGAGCTTTCGACCAGTCACACTGGTCTTCATCAGTAGACTGACCCAGTGAAGCTTGTCACGTGGCTTCTTTGATTTTCGACGTAAACACTGGGTCAAAGGTATCTGGTAGACGATGTCGGCCCCCGTAGCGGATGTTGTAATAGTTGGCAGTAAACTTACCACAATGATACTATTTCTTATTTAACAAGGCTTATGATGTAAAAATTAAAAAAGATGTAGGAATCTTTGGCACTCATTGTTTTTTTCTCTGTCGCATTAGATTTGGAGTCTGCGGAGGATGTCATCCATAAAATTTACTTGCTACCGCCTAAGATATACACAATGAAAGAGGTTTTGTTCATAATTAGGTAGAAAGGCAAGTTTCAAGCCCCGAAGGCATATCCATGTTTTCGATCACTGTACATGGGTACTAGTAAACATTGTCACACCATTAGAGTGCCCCCAAAGCGTGGCATACATATTTATCTCAACATTTCTGACATAATGCATGGAAAAGTACGACATTTGCTTCTACCGATAGGAATCCTGGTTCTTCTTTGGGGCGGTGAGTACTCGAATTCTTACCGAAACATGTTCATAGAAATCTAAATTTTAGATAGTCTAGGGTCATAAATAACAAGTCACATTCTGTAATCGCAACGACACAGGAAAATTAACAAATTCGTTCTTTACTGTGCCAGTTTTGGGCCAAAAAGGTGCACCACTAATTTTCAACTCGGACATACTAAACGCTAAAACATTGACACTGTGACGCCCAATTCCTAACGTTAGATCTGCTTTGAGATAACAGTACTAAGATATCATTTGAGCCTACTGATTTGTTCGTCTAAAACCAAGGAGGCACAATTCACAAAGTGCACAATGCTCTAGCTTAGTACTATAAAGCTAAGACAAGTTAAGGTCTTGTTGCCAGGGAACATTTACACGCCAAACACGTTACAGTAAGACAAGACAATAGGAGTAGTAACCCTACCTGGTGATACAGGGTACATTAATATTTGGTACATTTAATGTGTACCAGTCACCGAACAAAATACAATGCATCATGCCACTTTATAGACGTAGGATATATTAGCTAAGCGTTTTTTCTATTGTATCGCCGATAACTTGTGTGGAAACAAAACATTTTAAGCCTATTTTAATGTTTGTGTTTACATTTAATTCAGTCAGACATGTTTAATTTACTTGTGACGCATTTGTCCTTGTGGAACACTCAGGGGTCAAATAGGGTCACACGTGATCTTACAAAGGCCTGAATCTAAACGTATTTACTATGTAAACGTATGCAATATACACCTATGTGTAGACTTGCTTTCTTCAACTGATGCCTTCTTTAAAGTAGTACAATCTTGAAATAAATAAGAGAAGAGAAAAGGCGTTGAAACGTGCCATTGAAAACATGTATGTCATGAGGTTGTTCGACAACCCTGTCTTGACATTTGTTTTGTCACCGTTTGAGGTCTGTATCTGTATCTATATCTGTATAGCCGGTATAACCGCCCTTCGGCGTAACACACCAGCTTCGCAGGCACGCGGCGCGACGGCAGCCGGCTACATTACACCGATCGACTTGTTACACTTAACCCTTAAACATCTAACTCTAGGCACTGTTTAAAGGTATCTAATGATAATGCCCCTACTGTACTTGGTGACAGCGAGTTCCACTCTGCAATAGTTCTAGGAAAGAATAAATTCTTGAATACCTTAGTCCTTGGTTGATAACTCTGGTACTTGCTAAATTGAAGGCATGGCTATTTCTTGTTCTCTTCTGGGCTGGTATAAGGTACTTAGTAATTGGGACGTCTACCAGTTATTAGTTATTTTGTTCATCATGCATAGTCTGGACATTTTTCAGTGACACCCACTGTAGGTTACTTTTCATTTCCGTGACACTTCCGTGACTAGTTTCAAGTCAACGGGATCTAGTGACGGATGCAACTTATTTAATGCCGCCACAAACGCAGACAAGCGCATGAACAGAAGTACAGGCATTCGAAAATTCGTGTAATCCGTGTATAAAGTGCCTTTCCCGAGGGCACAATTTGATTGCATGGCAGGATTCGAACTCTGTACCTCCTGGTTCCGACCCGAATGCTCTGTCGTTACGCCACACGACCCTCTTAAAGAAATTGTTCTTTATTCTGTTATCCTGTACAGTCCCAGTCATGTCTACCGCAGATTTTCTGCTTGTAGCAGACGACAATCTCGGCAGCATCACGCAGGTGAACATGGCGGACGGTACGAAGCGCCCCCTGCCGCTGGGACCGGTAACGCACCCTCAGGCCGTCAGCTATGACCCTCGGTCCGACCACGTGTACTGGACCGACTACTGGGATGAAGTCATCCTGCGGGCCCACAGGAACGGCTCCGGGAGGGAGACACTGGTGGACAGCGGTGTCATCAGTAGGTTTCAGAACTTCATATATAATAAATCTTTATTTGCATTTTCATATCCATGGGGCTAAGTGCATAAATCGAAGTATGATGTTTCATGTATATTATACTGAGTAACATAATACATAGGATAGAAGGATAAAAGAATAGATTAAAAGTCTAGAGAATACATTTTATCTAATTTTGGTCTTCAAGATTTCTGTACACTGAAGCTAGGTGTTACTGGTTCACTGTGCACTGGACCTAGGTGTTACATTGGGACAGCATTAATACTAACAGTAACACCTACATGTAGCTTCAGTGCACAGTGAACCAGTAACATCGGACATCGAAACGTTAACTCCCTCGCGTCCAGAGATTTTGTCCATTTTGTCCCAATGATATTGAAGACGAACAACACTTTATTTTGAATTGTACACTATATAGCGATAAACGCACAAAGCTGTTCAACCTTCTCTTCGCTTGCTCAACAGAATGTGTTACATTTCATGCAATAGATAAATTTAATTTCATCCTATAAGGTAATAACCCTAACTGTGTACAAATAGGTAAATATATCAAAGAATGTCTAGACCTTAGAACAAGTAGTATTAGTTGACTCATCTATTGTTTCGTACGTAGGTTAATATCTTTGTACCCATGTATATTTGTCTGTATATCTACATGCAGTCTTAGACCTTACGAAAGTCGCTGTACTTTTTGTTCTGTCAATAAAGTTCTATTGTAAAACAATTGGATGTGAAGAAAAGAACTCCACTATTCAAATATTACCAATTTGTTTGCGAAAGTTTTTAGAGATATTCCCTAAGGTTTTGTTGACTCTCCGTCTTTCCCCTAGCCGCGGACGGCCTGACACTGGACCTGCCCGGGGGGAACATGTTCTGGACGGACCGACACGCGGAGACCGTCTCTGTGGCCCGGCTGGACGGCCGGTATGTCCGGACTCTGGTGTCACAGGACGTGGGGACACTGGGGGACATCGTCGTGGATCCTGCAAATGGGTAATCTTTTTTTTATCCGTAAATAATTTCAACAGGTTCAGGGGTGCCAGAGTATAATGTGCAATTTTACGGAATACAGTACAATTTTACGGAATACAGTACAATTTTACGGAATACAGTGCAATTTTACGGAATACAGTGCAATTTTACGGAAAAACAGTGCAATCGTATAAGCAAAATTACTAGTAGTATTGCACTGTATAGTAGTACAAATGGTATACTACTGTATACTAATGCGATTGCACTGTATTCCGTAAATTGTACTGTATACTATATACTAGTAAAATCGCACTGTATTCCGTAAAATTGCACTTTATTCCGTAAAATTGCATTGTATTCCGTAAAATTGCACTGTATCCTCTGTCACCCCTGAGGTTGGTAAATTATTGAATAGTGAATTGGGGATTTTGCAGCTGTTGTTTTAGAGACGTCGCGTATATCCAAGCACATACAGTTGGGGCAACATCACTAGAAAGCTTTTAACAACTCAATTAAATGTGCAAAGTTTGAGTGTAACTCGTTCGGTGTGATGTAGCTAGCTGCCGCCGCGCCGCGTGCCTGTGAAGCTGGTGTGTTACGCCGAAGGGTGGTTATACCAGCTACAGATACAGATACACCACTGACATAAATGACACAAACGGCACAAGAAACGTAAGGGGCTGAGAGAAGGCGACGCCATTGCGTGAAAATGTTTCCCTGTAGGTACAAAAAAGCACTGTCAACTGTAGATATGCCCTCAAGGAAGTCTTCCGCTCAAAAGCCCAATCGCCTTACTAAGCCGTGCTATTATGTTCGTTCAGTGAACCGTACGCATGACGTCACGATCAAAACAGCACGCAAGTTTTTTTTTTTTTTTTCTTTTCATTCCAACATTTCATGACTGGACATGGTGGCGGCACACTCAAGTTATATCGACTAATATTTTGTATCGTCAACGCAGAGGACAAATACGGAACAGGACAATACTCATTTTCACTTGAGTTAAGTGAGGAAAGTCGTGTAAAGTGCCTTTCCCAAGGGCACAAGATCGGTGGCATGTCAGGACTCGAACCCGGGACCTCTCTGGGTTCCGAGTCGAGTACTCTGCCGCTACGCCACACGACCCCACTTGTTGCTTTGGTTGTGGCACCTGTTACCCGGCGCTTAGACAGATCCCACAGAACAAAGAAAAGCAAATCAATATTCAAATGGCATGCAGCTACTCCCTCTCTCATTAACATTGGTCGAACCACTAAATTTCATGTTATTATTTGTTCAACTGCTCATTGTGACGGGCAGTCAGGATCGAGGTATTGATTTTTATTCTCCTAATGGGGTCGTGTGGCGTAACGGCAGTGTTCGGCTCAGATACACCCAAGAGGTCCCGGGTTCGAATCCTGCCCACTACCACCGATCTTGTGCCCTTGGCACTTTACACGACTTTCCTCGCTTCCCTCAAATGAGTAGCTAGCTTCGGTTAGGGACGTCCTTTGGATAGGACGTTAAATGGAGGTCCCGTGTTTGGGGAGAACCACTCCCCACGCACGTTGAAGAACCCACCGCACTTATCGAAAAGAGCAGGGGACATTCCCGGTGTGAGTGGTTCAGACCGTACAGTCTGGTCTAATACACAGCTTCTACTTTCATGTACAAAACTGGTATGTTACGCCTAAAAAGGTGGTTTACCGGTTATGCGAAACAAACAATAGGCAAGGAATGCCCAGTGTGAAAAGAACGTGCGTTTGAATGCCATGTGCTATATTTAGACTAGTACTAGGTACAGGTAGAGGGGGAATAACCCACTGCGTGCACTGGTATCATTACTTCCTTATTATAAGGACACGTGACAAAGTTTCCTTGTTAAACTAGAACTTGACGTTGTGATCGTTAGAACATAACTCTGCTGTGATCTGGTCACTCTAATGCACTCTTTATGTTTTGGAAGACAAAGTTTGGCACAAAATAGAAATTTTGCCAGTATAAGTATATGTCATGTTCAACATACATGTAGTAATCGGGCAGTATTACGTGTATCTATAATGCCAGTCATCTAATTGTTAAATCGCATATATGTCTTTACAAATAGTTTTTATGAAAACATGATATTTCCGTTTTGTTACATTAGCACAATTTATGTTAATTATGTTTACCGAAGGAAAACATATTGTTTTTGCTCAGTTTCTTCTTCTTCTTATCCAAACAATGACCTATGACCTGACCAATGACATGATTTGTTGACGTCTGTCATCATGGTGACTGGTGTTGGGTTACATAATGTTGCAATTTCATGGTCTGCTCTGCTCCTCTTACCATATACTAGTAGTACATGTATGTTAATGTGTTTGAGTAAGAATTAACAGGGCAGACCATGCCCGAAGGTAAACATTATGCATTTGCTTTGCAAATGTTACTTCTCTAGTTAAGATTGTATATGTACCAAGAATGGTGTGGTGTTGGTAATGACCCTCCCGTAGGTATAAATGGTTTCGTCCTATTGAAGTTGCGTCAATGGTATTGTAATGAGAGAAGTTGTCCTTTGTTTGTCGTTGTGCTCGACTTTCGTGAAAATATTTTCTTTGTAGCGCTTACCAAGGGCAAAACGTCCCTGTCACTTTGTAAATAATGACAGCATGGACGCCAGAATAACTCAGTGACGCAGTACAGCTATTCAGTACATGTACATGCGAGTAATGTTTGCGACCCTTTTTGAAGGTAGGCGGTAAGGAAAGAAGCTGTTATCATATTATGAATGAAAATTTTAGACCTAGAAACGTCCTATTAAAACCCAAAACTTAACTGGAGGTCTTAACTTGGTTATTGTGCCCACAACGGGGTATTGAGGTTATGGTAGCAGAACACAGTTTTCGCCCTATGGGGATTTCTATACCCAAAGATGACTCACTTCGATGCGGTAAAAATTCTAGTAGGGTGCACTTCACAAATACGAAAATCCAATATGTTTGAGAAAAAGGAACAAACTTTAAAATATCTAGAAACCAAAAAATTCTGTCGGCGTAATACGGCGCACTTATACACCAACTGCAAAACCTTAAAATTCAAGTCAAACTGTGTTAAACCCGATACATTCCTACACTACACAGCGCAATTTACATCTGGCTGACGCTCTTATCAGGCTTTCTGCCCAGCCTTCAAGAATATTCTCCGTACTACTATACTTTCTATACCCGCGTCACAGACCCCGGGGGTCGCCCATTAATACTGTGTGCTGCGACCTTATTGCCCCTAAAAGTCTGCGAAGGAGGCTAATTGTCCGAGGGGTTTCATGTTTTGTCTTTCAAGGCCATGCTGTCGATCAGTCCACTATGCCATGGGGGTGCAAAACATAATAAACTGGAAAATGGTCAATGTTCAAAAGTAATCGAAACGTTATGGCCTAAATTGCCAATATTGAATCAAAATCTTAATGATTTTGTTTTTTCAAATCGTCATTGAATATTTACACTGTTGGTTCTTTCTCATTGCGGAGTCTATGCGCATGCGCCAACTTGCTGGGTCACAGGACGGAAATGAAACATTCGGAGTCGCACACGCCTCGCTGACAGCAACATTTTCCTTCAACTTCCCCATAAGTTTTGGGGTTGTTCGGAACAATTTGAACATTAGTTCTTAAGGTGAGCCACATTTTTTCTTGTTTCAGATATCTTGCGTATATATATATATATATGTAGGTTGAACATACATTTACAATACCAGGCTAAAGTGTAGTTCGCGGCCCAAAAATTAGCAGGTCCGACCCGTGAACGTGCGGTTGGTCGATGGCCTATTTTACGTTCAGCAACATATGTGTAAATACATCGTATTTCAGCAGTATTATAGTAACCTACAAAATTTACTGTCAAAACTGGAAACGACGTATTACAGCAAAATACGTTGTATTTCAGAAAAATAAGTCAATGGCTAAACTACGTCCTATTTCAGCAAAGAAAAAAAAACGTCGAATACTAAACTACCAGTACCATCCTTGTTATTCTAGCGCCATGTACATGTACGACTTCGGGTACTAGTATTTCTCGTGCAAAGCATCACAATTTATTACACATATTATAGAATGGCTTGTATGAGTACATCAAAACACATAATGAATTTTTGGAACACATAATGTATACAACTGACTGGAATTAACCAAGTAAACTGTGTTCCGTTTTTACTAGATAGCAGAGGAAAGAGCGCTCTTGGCACGGAAAAAAAAGAGGAACAGAAACTACTAGAAGCAACACAAAAATAACTTCCTTACATGTGTAGGTGCCGTGACCATGAAAGGACTGTTATGGATCCGGACATAGGATAGCCTGGCTACCTTACGCTTCGAGCAACCACACTTGACAGCGAGGGATAGCTAGTGTAACTCAGGTCGGGTATCTACATGATATCCAAGTCCTGAGAAAATGGCGCTTTGTACTTGCGGTGCATTTCTGCTGGTCCAGTTGCTGTACGTTTCTGGCTTCCAGCCAAAACAGAACATTTCCGTCTTGATAGAAATCCCCGAGGATGTATCCCCAGGAAGTGAAGTGCTGCGTCCGCTAGAGTTTGTTAACTGCAGTACTGCCAACGTGGCCTACGCTGGGAATTTACAATCGTGGTCAGTTAGAATAACCGGAGGGGACGATTTCGGACGTTTCCAGGTTCATAACACGAGCCTGACAGTAACAGTTGCTGCCCCGCTGGATTTTGAGTTATACTCGCGATACAATCTGTCTGTGGAAGTAGAACATACGAGAGAGAATCAAAATTGGTTCATAAACATTGTTATCACGGTGAGGGACGTGTCTGGATACCCACCGCTGTATGACAAACGCTGTGAAACGCCTGTTCTATCCGACATAGGGGGGACCGAGGACTACACTGTCCTAACCAGTGACGGAACCATGGATGCCTTCCTAAACGGTGAACACATCGTAACAGCCGTCGACTTGATCAAATGGCATACCGGTGATCCAAGTGTTGTGAATAATGTCGTCGTTATGAGAGATGACTGCTCAGTCCTACTTCTGGTCGGTATGACCACTCTAATTGGTAGGAAAGCATTCCTGGCTCCATGGCTACATGGGTTTGGAGCAGGAAGGCTTGAAGTCCAGTGTCATTACAAAAATCGGAAAGATGCTGGTAAAATGACGCTTTTGGACATTTCCTTTGATAATAACCTACCCCGATGGGTACAGGAAAGTCGGATTAAAATAGACGAGAGTGTCCGTTATGTTGTGGCTGCGGAATTGAATGACGTATGGTCCACATCCAATCGGATCCGTTGTGGTAAAAACGTTTCTTTCTCAGACGGCCCAGTACTTGCCGAAATTACAGCTGAGTACAACATTACCGGCTGTCCTGAGGGCAGGTACGGGCTGTACTGTGACCATGACTGTGTTTGTAAGAACGGCGCCCGCTGCCATGGGTTTAACGGTGCCTGTAAGTGCCGTCCGGGCTGGAGAGGGAGGGCCTGTGATATTCCCTGGGCCGAGGTCGTCATCATCGCGACACCTGGCGATTCAGTTGTGAAGTACATCGGCACCAATCTGACTTTGACCTGCCTGGCTCCACACATCCAGGTAGCTAACATGACGTGGCTTTATGAGGCAGAAAACAAAAATACCGATACGGAAATGATCGAAAAAGGGCCAGTTCAGAACAGCTCCGTCAAGTTTCAACCGATATATGAATCAGCTAATGGTAGATATACTTGTTTGGTGAAGGCCGAAGATGGTGAACGTTTCAATACAACGTTTATACTAAGCGTTAAAGAATGTCCGCCCAACCGTTACGGAGATGTTTGCAGTCAGGTGTGTGACTGTGAGTACGGAGGGACGTGTGACAGGTGGGAGGGGTGCCTGTGTCCGCCTGGTCGTCATGGAGACAGGTGTGAGCACACCTGCGCACCTGACACATTCGGGTGGAACTGCAGCATGAAGTGCAATTGTGAAAACAAGGCCTTGTGTGATCCAGTCAATGGCAACTGTATTTGTGCTGAAGGACAGTGGGGCGAGTTTTGTCACGAGTGCGCACCTGGCATATTCGGGTGGAACTGCAGCATGAAGTGTCACTGCCTCAACAACGCTTCATGTGACGCGGTGAACGGCAGCTGTATTTGTGCGGCGGGACGAGTTTGGCGAGTTTTGTCAGGACGTTTATGTACCCAGGGATAGTAAAATATTTGTTGTGGCGTTGGCGTCCGTTCTACCGACCATCGTTGTAATTCTTTGCATCGTGACTGGAATCCTTGTACATCGCAGTAGACGGCGTCCAAAATATACTGTTGACATGGAACTTACGCCGGTCATGGAAACTCTTTCATCTTGGGAAGTGGACAAAGATGACATTTCTTTCGAACACATGATCGGGGAGGGAGAGTTCGGCCATGTAGTACGAGGGAGACTGCACGTGCCGGAATTAGGCTACGAGGTTCTGGTGGCCGCTAAGAGTATCCGGCCTGACCGCATGACGGCGTCGGCTGTCCGCGACTTTCGCCGAGAAATGGACATTCTCGCGAGAATCCATGAGGACAAAGAAGGACACCCGAACGTAGTGAAATTCTATGGCGTTGTTACCAATTCTGACCCTCAGTACATCGTGGTAGAGTATGCTACTAATGAAGACTTACGGCGGTACCTGTGGACTGTAAGAGAGGAGTGTAAGATCACAGGACATACAAAACTGTTAGAGCGTCTCGGGTTTGCTTCTGACGTGGCCTGTGGGTTAGCAGAGCTGGCACGTTTGAAGATCGTGCACCGAGACATCGCGGCCCGTAATGTCGTCATCAGCGACACAAAAGTGGCTAAGATCGCGGATTTCGGACTATCGCGTGACGTGTACGTGTCGACGGTGTACGAACGCACTAACCAGGGCGGGGAGGAGGAGCTGTTGCCGCTGAAGTGGATGGCCGTGGAGTCGTTACGGGACGGGGTGTACACGTGTGAGAGTGACGTGTGGTCGTACGGCGTGCTGCTGTGGGAGATCGCCAGCTTTGGGGAGGAGCCGCGCTACGCTGGCGGTCCCATGCACCCGGACGTCTGCACGATGCTGGAGCTACTGAGGAAAGGAGTCCGTCTGCAGAAACCACAGAACTGTCCACAGCCGCTGTACCGCATCATCAGGTCATGCTGGATAGTTGACCCGTCCAAGCGCCCGACTCCTGAGGAACTATGGAGGAATATTGACCAACTGAAGCCGCCCAGGCATGCTGCTCATTTAGTTAACCATAACTTTCATTAACGAACTCAGAGTATAATTAAATAAAAATGCACCTTTTCTTTGTTGTTGAGTTGTTTTGTGTGTAACAAGTAAAAGAAGATTTCATATCTTAGAATATTTGTTTTTGTGATTTAAAAAATCATTCTTTAAAATGTATTCCTCTCTATGTACACTTGAAGATGCCACCCTGGCGAAACCGGTCGTGTGACAGGCTGAATAAAAGTTCTAAACGGGAACGATGTGGCTCCTGATATCTTACTGTTGGACGACTGCGTGTGCGAGATGTCGGTTAGCTTGAGAAATGAATCCCCTTTACTATATACTGCATATCTCTCGACTGGCATACTCCAGGGCCAACTGCAACTTCGTCCTATAAGTCGACTGTATGAAAGCCTATGAAAAGTCACACACACGCGCGCGCGCGCACACACACACGCGCGCGCACACACACACACACACACACACACACACACAAACACACACACACATACATGTATGCACACACACGCTGTCCGTTTGGTCTTCGCATAAACTCTCTAGGATAACATTTGTCCGATCTCAGAAAATGTACAAACTTGTAGTGCGAATTTCGTTTTTGACAAGAAATGCACATATTTATATACGCCTGGGGTCAGTTTTGACCACATACGATGGTTTGAGGGTTAAAACATCTTTCTGTCATCCTGTATGAGGGTTAGATCACAATCTTACCTAATACAGTGTGAGTTACTGCTCCTTGGCTTCTTCAGCTGTTTCCTTCTGTCCTCATGCGTTTCGCCCCCTATAGCAGGACCCACTCAGAAAGGCGAGGCAGCAGTGCTGGCCAAACACTGCTAGCCAAGGTTCTTCGGGTTCCACTCTCCATCTGTGCTCTTGACCCAGAGCCATCGGGATGCTCTCTCTGCCTCCTCTGCGACTCTCTTTGTCACTTCCCTCCTTCTTCTACCCTTCACCCCTACCGCTCCTAACAGCCTCCATGTTGACTGGCAGATGAAACCTCTCGTTCTCACCTCCACGGGGAAGCACATCGCTCTCCATCTCTTGTCTTCACATGACTGCACTAGGTCTTGATACTTCAGTGCTTTCCTCTCATGTGCTTCTTCTACTTTTTCTTCCCATGGCACTGTAAGCTCTATCATGGCCACTTTCTTCCTCTGCTTTGACCATAGGACCATGTCTGGCCTGAGGTTTGTTGCCACTACCTCTACCGGGAAGATCAGCTTCCTATCCAGGTCAACCTGCAGGACCCAGTCTTTTGCTTCTGTTAGAATACCTCCTTCCTCAGCCTTTCTCTTAATAATTCTCTTAATAAATAGATTGACTGATACGGTGCTTATTTGACTGATACGGCCGCCCCGTCCGTACGGACGCCCTGTCATAGTTTTAAATATTGTTAGGAAAAGATATCGTCTGCAACGGACAACATACTGATGCAGCGTTGACCAAACATCCAATGAAAAACGTTGGTAAATCCGGGTTTTGCGCAGGTGCAGTTCATTCTGCCGACACGATAGTTAATACCTAACGGTACTGTAGCAGAACAGTTTTAGTTAAGGACCCAAAGTGACTCACTTCGACGCGGTAAAATCATAGTAGGGTGTACTTAACAATTACCAAAAGCAAAGACGTTTGATGGAAGGTACACACTACAAAATATTTTTAAACAAAAACAAAAACTCTGTCGGCGTATCGGCTTGTGACGCACACTTTGAACCTGCCCGCGCCCTTCAAGTGCTGAGCTAACCTAAGCAGCAGCCAACCCAGACGGAAAGCCAGTTGCTTAAAGCCTAGGTCACAATTCAAAAAAGGGGCCCGCGCGGCCTTTTTTTGGCCCTGGAACCTGGAATTCCCAAAATTCTGGCTTTAGTTCCAGAATTCTGGGTCTAGTCTAGAATTCTGCAGAATACTGGCTCGAGTTTCCAGGATTCTGTAGAATTCGGTTAATGCCCAAGTAGACCTCGATGGCCGAGATATGCGTATTAGTCTGCAACTACACTGGAGTTCCGGAATCAAACCGGAGGCTGATGTTTGGTGTGTTACGATGTGGCTGTTTCTAACTGCAGCTACATGTTCTGGACGGACTGGGGAGTGAACTGTAGAATAGAGAGAGCGGCGATGGACGGAACCGGCAGGGTCGTCCTCATCAGCTACATCTTCGGTACACCCCGAGGACTCGCCATAGACTACATTGGTTCGTCTGTCCTTTTTATGTTTACCGAAGGAAAACATGCTGTTCTTGCTCTGTTTCTTCTTCTTCCTCTCCAAACACTGACCTGGTCAATGACCTGAACCAGACATCTGTGACCATGGTAACTGGTGTTGGGTTATATTACATCATGTCGCAATTTTATAGTAGGAGGGATTTAGATACTAATAGTAGGATTTAGACTCCTGTCACCATATATGTGAATGTATTTGAGTAAGAATTAACAGAGCAGACCATATGCAAAGGTAAACATTATACATTTGCTTTGCAAATATTACCTTTCTAGTTTTTAAATTCATTTGAATGTCACCGATTCATTTCTATTCATTTATTTGTTTATTTATTTAATATGAAATATATATTACAACTGAACTGAAAATATATATTACAACTGAACTGAAAATATATATATTACTTATTTAGTTCCTAAATGACTTGGTGGCCCATTCAATTTTGGCGATTTTTTTTTCAGTGGAGCCCAGTATATAAAATATTAAAATCATCAGCATAAATAAAGGAAATAAGCATGTGACCAAATTTAACATATTAAGTAATAAAGGATTGATACATAAATAAAGAAAAATTACTGAAACTATACATAGAAATACATGTGTTACATGGAAAAATCATACGACAGCAAAAATAGAAAGGTCCAGGTCAGACTTAACTTAGGAAGTCAGAGGTCAAATAAAACTTACAGTATATGTGAATTTTGCAGATTTTAAGGTAGATTTGAAACATTTCAGTGATGTGAGTTGTGTGATATCTTTCTTTTTATTGTATGTTAAAGTTATTCATCCCTCCATATGCAAATGGGCATTGCCCTACTGTAGTTTCGTAATTAGAGGTTTAAGTTGGAGTTCCAAGTTACTAGAGTTGAATAGTTTTCCTTTTTCCCAAGTGATTAAGAAGAAGAAGAACTTTATTGCGCAACAGATGTGTAAGAATAAACTTTTAAGAGACACTAATTATACTAATCTAACTCTGTCTTGGGCCCTTGAGGTCTTGCCAGACATATTGACAGTAATATACTGTATCAGGAATTTATCACATTTTCTAGAAATACCGTGTACAGCCATGTACATGTTGCTGTCTTTTATCATTCTAACAGAGCAGAGAATTTACTGGAGTGACGCGGCATATCGCACCATACAAAGTGTGGATCTTTCCGGTCAGAACCAGATACATCTGACCATGTTTCGCCAGGCCGGCTTCTTTGGACTGGCTTTGGATAACCTGAACATGTACTGGACATCCTGGAATGTACCCTATGTAGTAGTGTAAGGGTCTATTATTGCCTCCGTTGCCTTTAAATGGATAATTTGAAATTCTTATGAATGCTTTATTGCATCCGTAAATAATTTCATCAGGTTGGTAAACGAATGAATAGCAAAGTTCTTTGATCACAACCATTTATTTTTCACGAGCCGACGTTTCGATGACCGTCTGTAATCTTCATCAGGGCCATTCTGACTGACTCTAGATGTTACTTGGTGCATGGTGCAATAAACTAAAAACTAGCTTAAGTGCACGGTGAACTATGTAACACCCTTAGTGTACTATGCACCAAGTAACATCTAGCGTCAGTGCACAGTAAACCAGTCAGAATTGCCCTGATGAAGATGACAGACGGTCATCGAAACGTCGGCTCGTGAAACATAAATGGTTGTGATGAAAGAACTTTCATGCTTTATTGCAGTTGGTCAGTACCAATCGCATTTATAAGCAAGCTGCTACCGCTTGTCAGCTTCGATTCAATTCAATTCCTTCACAATTGAAGCAAGATTGGCAATTGAATTTATGGGCAAAAGGCTACTACTTGGCAGAGGCCCAGAAGTACAATTTTGAGTAACCATTGGTAAGAGCATCCAAACCAACTGTAAACGGCTTTTTTCTTAGTATATCTTGCTAATTGCTGGTATGTCGCAACTGGGGTTCCTTTTTTTTTGTTTTGCAGAAAAAATATCTTTTAGGCTAATTTTCGATACTGTGTAGAGCTCTAGAAGTGATGTTGTGTTGTTGTGTTTGGGGGGTTTAGAAGTCATTCCGGCCATTCTTTCATTGATACGGAGTTTCGGCCGATAGAAAACTAAGGGTTTTGGACTACATGGACAATTTGGATGTGAAGCTACCATGTCAGTGTAAATTACACAAATTGAACACTCAAGTAGATGATTTTTGACAGCTCATTTCTTTCATGTTTACCATATATTTCTATGGGAACTCAAAATAGTGGTCTGTGGCGTTTATGGCCTAGTAGATACTTCCTACTCAATGGTAGGGCAGAAGTAGAAAATAGGTACTCGGTTCACATGAACCGACTTCAGGAGACACACAGATGTTAACTGCACATGCATGGAAATTATAGAATTTTTGGGGAATTTCCTAAAATTCGAGCATATAATACACTATAAAGCTTACTCCTTCAGTATCTCCAAAAAGTGACGGGCGGTTTCGTAGACAAGGGCAAAGACCGCCCATTCAACTGTATGGAAAACATGTAAGAAAGGAGGTGTGAAAAGTCACCTACCTGAGTGAAACCGCATCAGAAGCACACATTCATAGGGTAACTCGGCCTCTAAACTATCCATTTTGTTGATATCAAAAAATCCTATACTGCCAAAGACATCTAAACGCTATGGCAAACTTCCAGAAGTGACCTTTGACCTCTATCACCAGCTGATGATAGCATGGAAACTCAGGACTTCTTTTCTGGCCTGGACACCCCAAACATGGCACAAACTCCATGTTTTTACATAATGAAATGCAAATAACCCTAACCTATAACATCCAGCTCAAAAAAAAGCAACAGTTCCCAACATTAAGACATTTTACACTGTTTCTGTACATGCAGTACCCACTCGGGGCCAACTAGGCATGCGCGTATTCCTGGCATTTGCCCACAATTATGCCTTCTTTTTTTTTCAGGACTCCAAAGTCATCGCCAAACAGACACCATGCCCTCGCTTCTGGGTTCCCCTCTCCAAACGGGATCTATGTTAACCGGACGGACGCCGGCGCTATCCCGTCGTCAGGTGAGGTCAACTTACATCTGAGGTTACAAACTTCTTTCCAGAAAAAGTCTCATGTACAGAAAACCGATTATTTTTTTGGTTGCGATCGATGTATTCTTTTTTTTTAACGTTTACATATACGGCATAAGTTTTAGCTTTTAGGTGCCTGATTTGGGGGTGCCTGTAACAATAGAATAGGTTGACAGGACGTGGGCCGAGAAGATTGACTGGCAGATTGAGCAAAGATCAATAAAAGGGAATTAGGTGATGTTTAAGGTCATGAAGGGCGTGTGCCATGAATTTATGCAATGCCATTGCGTGTAAATAAATGATGCCTAACAAAATATTGTGAGAAACATTCGCACAGATGAGATATTTGTGACAATGATGAATGATAATTTCCAGCCTGCTCTCTGTCAAACGGAGGATGCCGGGAGTTGTGCCTGGCTCGGCCCGGAGGGAGGACGTGTGCCTGTCGGAACAGTTGGGCACTACAGAACGACAGCGCTTCCTGCAGCCCGATAGGTGAAACCTATTTTGCTTTCTATTGGATAAGGAATTGTGTGTTCTTTGAGTTTAGTATTAAAATTGTTTTCTCGTGGTAGAGAATACTGGGAAAGTAAGGAAGCATTTTGGCCATCACTTCACAGAGACGGTGGACGATATAAATTCCTAAATTCGAATTCCCTGGCACTTTTGATCAATTGCTTGCGTCACGTAACCTTAAAATCTATTGTGATTAGGGTTACGTGTCTGTAACCGTAACTCTCGCGAGATTACTTTCTGAAGTGATTGGTCATTCATTATCCTGATGAAGGTGACAGTGGTCGCTGAAAATTTGATCTCTGTAAAACCTTGTGTTGGAATAAAGTTCAACTTTGTACTATGATTTTCGTGATTATAATGATATAACATGAATTATAATGATATAATATGACGTTGTTCTTGTCCTAATGTTAATGCAGTGCCCGTGTCTCCCAGCTTTTTGTGGATAGACCGTGAGCGTACATTTGACACCAGTTCAGTCGTCATGTTAGCCGGAGATAGCAGCACGGTCCGCGGGTCACCTGGCAGTTTCCCCATAACCACACTACTCACCGTTAAACCGCCCTCATATATCGACGCCATAGACTACGACTTCCGACAGAACCTTCTGTTCTGGGTCAATCCTGGACAGAAGAAAATATACATGGTAGGCACAATACTTATGTTTATCTTCGCAGAGGGAAACATATTGTTTTTGCTCAGTTTGTCCCTCTTCTTCTTCTTCTTCTCCAAACAAATAAACTGAACCAAAAGTCTGTCACCATGGTAACAGGTGCTTTAGCTAACCCAGTGGTGTTGGGTTACATTATGTAGCAGAGCAGAGTTGAAAAGGCTGCTTACCAGTTATTATATACGTTGATATGAATGTGTTTGAGTAACAATAAACAGAGCAAAAGTTTGCTAGACTAGACCACGTGAAGGTAAACATTATGCATTTGCGTTGCAAATGTTACCATTCTAGTTTGTCATTTTTCTATTCTGTACATCCGAGCTCGTAAGTATAGTTTTAATTGGCCGACTTGTGGGCTTATGTCTCTATGCTAATAGCCTCGGTTGGATGGTGGGTGGGAGGTGATTCTGAAAGTTGATTGTTAGGAATGTGTCTCAGCACGCGCCGGGTAGGAATAAGTGGGCAGTATATGGAGGAAATCAGGAAGTGGTGAAATACCTGAATAAATTACAGTGCGTCATACAATCCATACGATGAATGAATGAATGAATGAATGATTTTTTATCTGAGTGTCTTGCGACTTTTGTCGCCCAGCCCATATGGGCTTATAAGGCACCAGAACATAAACATGAACATTAAGATAAAGATGATTACAGAAATCATAGAAACAACATAAATCCAAATCAAAGGTCGTACTGCTGACATCAAATAAAATTATTACAACGTTGTACATAACATAATCAGTACATATGTCACAAGTGCACAAACTCAACTCAAAAGTACATAAATTGTCCCAACACTACCATACTTACACGAAAACCTGCCAGTCTGAAATTTCTGGTTTCTTCTTTCAAGACTAATTTTAACATAGGCAGCCACCGAGCTATCGTTCATGGGATCTCCAATGCCGTGAAGCACCTGGCAGCTGATTGGTTGAATCAGAACCTGTATTACACGGACGGTGTGTACAACTGGATCGGGATGGTGAACTACAACACGTCACACCATCACGTCATCATCCAGGCACAGTTAGACCGACCCCGTGGTACAGTGGTCCACCCCATTAGAGGGTAAATATCAATTTGTTGTTTGTTTATTGCAAACTAATGACTGAAGGCTAATTGCAAACACAAAAGGAAAATTCTAGTTAACAAGTTTATTGCAAATAAATGCCCGAGGGCTAATTGCAGATACAAACACCATGTATGAAAAAAATACAATGATATTAGAAACTGCGTCTAAAATTACACTACATTATACAACAAGAATTCCGAGATTTCATACCTCCATGAAATATGGGCTTGATATGTAAATGTAAACTTCCTCTTTAATTATGCAAATTACCTCCGCATTAACATGATATATGCATCGTGATGTATGTTTACTTTTGATTAACTTACATATGTCTCAAGTATGACATTCCCATTATTCACCATTAAGAAATCATAGAATTTTCATAAATTATGCAAATTAGGTCATAATTTGCATAATTAGTATCTGTTGATGTTCTGCCTGTCATAGGTTACATACATTACATGTATGAAAGTAGTATAATGTAAAACACTGTAATCATAGAATTTCCTCATTAATTATGCAAATAAAGTCCTCATTTGCATAATTTGTACATTTAATCATGTACATCTCTCTCCCAGCTACCTACACACCAAAAATTATGAAAATATGTTGTTCCTATCTGGACTTATTGGCTTTAAAACATTTCGCCAGAAAGTGCCCTGCAGTTCCAGAACAAGCTGCTAGGGAAACCAAACTCACACCACTTATTCCTGACAGGAAAAGCAATCTGTCACCAAAACATCAAGACCATAGCATGTTCAGAACAAAAGATACAAAAACCGGAAGTTCTGCTGCAGTACCAAGGTCATCCACCAGGAGGCCCATATTTAACCTTGACGTTTGTCTTCCTAAGACTTACCAACATACCAAATATCATCATAATCAAACCGGGTTGATCATACTCGGTTTAAGTCATCTGGCCCTCTAGGTCAGCTAACGCACTCCTAGCCTGGATGCCAGCCTTTTTAGCTAAATTCGCTTCCCATCAAAGGATGAAAAGAGGATAGAAAATTGAGAAATCGCTGTCCACTGTCTATTGCTGTTCTTATAAGAAACAAGGAAAATGCATCAAATTCTACATTGTGATTTTTTTGTTTATTGTCATGAAAAATTTCTATCCCATTCAAGCTTCTTGTTCTGGAACGACTGGGGAGAGGAACCTAAGATTGAGAGGGCTACTTTATCCGGACAGAACCGAACAGTCGTGGTCAAGGAAAACCTCCAACGACCCAGCGGTATGGTCATCGACTATGCTAATGACAGGTATGTCATATAATAGGCCCATTTCCAAACTCAGGCGCCATAACAAGAATGTGCTTTCGGGAGAGTACAATCTTTCGCGAACGTGAGTTGAACGAAAACGAGGCTCGGTGGTAAAACCCTTTCGAAATGGGCACAAATTCCAACCAAATACTTTTTGGAAAGGTGTTTGCAAACTCAAAGGAATAGAAAAGAAACAGAAAAATTACAACTAGTTTTTAATGCAATTCTTACAGACTATTTTGGGCTGACACTGGTCTTGACGTCATCGAGTCATGTGACCTGGACGGAAGCAACAGAAGACTTTTCTACGCGCTGCCGGGAACACTCTTCTATGACATTACCTTTGATGGAGTAAGTAACAGCTTTAATTACCTTCGCCAAGAAGGTTATGTTTTCAGTAGCGTTTGTCTGTGTGTGTGTGTGTTTGTGTCTGTGTGTGTGGTTTAGCAAGATAACTCGAGAAGCAGTGAATGGATTGGAATGAAACTTGGTAGGTGGGTAGGACTTCATGAGACCTAGAAGTGATTAGATTTTGGGCCCCCTGGCGGCTTTCCTAGGTACTGCAGCTGAACTTCCGGTTTTGATATCTCATGTTCTGGACATGATAGGGTCACGACTTTTGGTTGGTAGATAGCTCTTGGGGTAGGGAAGAAGTGACATGAGTTTGGGTCCCCTAGCGCCTTGTTCTGGAACTGCAGGAGCATTTGTTGAAAAAAATTTGAAGGACGATAACTCAAGAACCGGTTGACGTATTGTCGTGAGTTTTGGTATGTAGGTAGTTGAAGTGATGCTTGACATAATCAGATGGCAATTATGCAAATCAGGAGCTAATTTGCATAATTAATGAGGAAATTCTATAAATCTGATTTGTTCAATAATAGAACTATGAAACAGTTGTGACATCTACTTGAGAACGAGAAAAACATCTGAGGATATAGATTATGTAAATGAGGACCTAATTTGCATAATTAATGGCAAATTCTTATAATTCCATAGTTGTAACTGCTGCACCCCGAATTTCATACTTGCCACATTTGGAAGTTAAGTGAAGGTGAACATTAATAAACATAATTTATTCAAATCATGACCTCATTTGCATAATTTATGAGGAAGTGCTATAATAGCCTTTTTGTTATGATAAGGCTGTCATTGGGTGGAGAATATGATCAACTGATATAATCCATGCAAATGAGGCTCTTATTTACAAAATCAATGATTAAAATTGTAGAATTCGTCACCCGCAAGGGTTAACATCTTTTGGCGAAGGTATGAGATCGTGGAACTCTTGTTATACTTTTTTTTCTAATCAAGAGTCAATGACCCACCACGATGTGTCAATGGTGACGCAAGGCCTGTCCAGTGATCTTTACTTCTGAGAATGAACCACCCAGTGAGCGAAGTGAGATTCATCAAAGTTGAACATTTCTTACCGTAGTGTTTTTACATGGTAATGCCTATACATGGCTAGGATTTCCAATCGGTACCTCCATCTTACCTACTAAGTCTTTTGTAAGCATTATCAGCGAATTTGCATCATTATAGATCTAGAGAAATTATCTGAAGAATTGACAGAACTTTATGTAATGTATTACTAAGTAAACTTAGACTTACCCAAATTTCAAGCCAACTCCGTCAGCCTTGTTCACGGACTGAACTTGTCTACTGCAGCTTCCGGGACATAACGTTTAACCCTCAACAGAACACCTTCCCGGACTGATTAACTGGGGTCCGCGCGGACCCCAGAACAGTTTTTTGCTACTTTTTAGAAATTATCAACATGCTACCAGCTCAATTATTTTGCAAACTGATGTGGGAACCTCTGTGTCCACGTTACAAACAAAAATCATACATTTTGAACTTTTTCTATTTTTTGGTGAAGAAAAGAAGACAAGAAGAAATACCCGATTTTTTAACAGATTTCAGACTGAAAGGGCTTTTGAGGCCCAACTTTGATCTCAGATAGCGGCTAAACGGCTTGCGCTAGAAGTATCAAATTTGGAGACCTTTTCAAAAATGTCTCTAGAAAAAAGATCATTTTAGTTTAATACTAGTAAGTTTTTTTTTTGTGTTGCCATGGCAACGGGTTTCTAGCAGGCAGGTTTTTTTTAAATAGAAGTAATTTTGGTTTAAACATAAACATTTTCTGAGTTTTATATTAAATTACACTTCTTTTCCAACATTAATAACATCTTACATAATTAAATATAAGTTAAATCATTTAATATGCATAGAATATGCTAAGTTGATGACGTCATTGGTCAAAATCCAATATGGCGGACTATATTATTAGCTCTGACGTCAGATGACGTCACAATTACACCAAAGTTATTAAAATTTAATTCTATTACTACACCATTCTCTGAAAACTTGGTAGACATACGATGAGTGCATAAAAACATATAAAAACGGAAATAAGGTAATGTATAAGAACGCCAGTGTATCCATTATGATCGAAAGCCGGTTGGGGTCCGCGCGGACCCCAAAAGAAAATCAGATATAATTTTTTTTTTATGAAAGGTAGAAACGGAGTTTTCTGCACTGTATTGAGAGACAACTTTGTGGGTGACAATTACCTAAAATTTCAGAAAAAAATCTTTAGAAACAAAAAAGATATTACAGAATATATAGTGCTGGGGTCCGCGCGGACCCCAGGTGTTCTGTTTAGGGTTAAACACGTGATTGCAGTAGAGGATCATACGTGCCAGGTAACTTGTGTCGCCCACGTCGCTGTTTAGTGTTGGACGGTTAATCCAAATATACATGTTTCCGACGTCCTGGAAGCTGCAGTAGACGGGTCAATTCTGTGAACGAGGCTGACAGAGTTAGCGAAAAATGTGGGTATACACGTACATGTAAGTCCCAATTTACTTTGACATAAAGTTTAGCCTTTTCATAAGGTATTATACCAATACAGACGACGTATCTTATTATTTCTAGAATATCTATCTGAAACTGTAACTGTAGCCCTCCTCTTTCAGAGGGAGATTGTCATAGCGGATTGGTACCATGATAGGCTGATCTTTGCGAACGGCACGGACGAGGTGACAGTCGGAGACAGCCAGGCTGCCTACATATTTGGCGTTGAGTTCTATGATGAGAGTCGACAACCTTGGATACAAAGTAAGTCGTTTTATATTCAACATGCTCATCGAAACTTCAAACTCTACTACTGGAGGAATTACGGACATAATTTCCTCACGTTTTGAGGAAATTCGACGACACTAATAAACTAACAGAACGCATTACATAATATATATGAGTAAGTAGATGAACCGGTTGAATGTGTTTACATATAATTGCAGAGTGGACAGGAAATTCGGGGCGATTTCCCGGGTCCAAAAGCCGGGACGTATGGCTGATGAACAAAAGAAGGGCTGACATTCCTATGTTGATTATTTTTCTATTGTCAAAAAATGTCCCGAAGTGTATTTTTAGTTGTCCCAGCCTACACTTTAGTGGTTAGTGGCCATTAGACCACCTTTAATTTCGAGCCCTGATTTAAAACTGCCACAAAGTCCCAACACAGCCAGCACAAACAAACAACTTGAAGATACTAGAGCACACTTTTTTTATTCACTTCAATTTGTCATGGAAATAACAAGCATTTGTCATGGTAATAACGATAGAATTACGCCAGACTAGCAACATGACGCCTTTGTGAAGGAACTGCAAGGAGGTTGTTTTCAATATTAATCAATTTTTGAAAGTAAACAATTTAATTTTCATCTCGTATTAGAACAACATAACAAATTTTATAATTTCTCGAATTGATAATATGTCACGATCATGATACATCTTGTGGGTCAACGTTAAATGCTACTCTTTTTACAACGGTGTAGTTAATTGAGATAACAGCTAATTCAGTTCGTTCAAACACATGCATAACGCTAATGTAAGCCGGATGGTAGCGTTTACTTAATTAATACATTGGTATATACATTGGTAAGGAAATTGTGTTTCTGATCAGCTCTGAGTTCCATATTCCAATTATAGTTAATTATCTACTCATTATTTTTAACTTAGTAAGCTTCTCCCTTTATGTGTGCTTTAAAATTCTGATCCACAAATACATACAACACTGTTTATTATATTCTACAATACACACAAAACGATTCTTACAAATGATACAGCCCAACCCAACATTGCAGTTCAACAAAGCAATTTATATACATCTAGCTTCAGAACAATAATAATGAATATCTTATTTCTTTCTCAGTTGTAACGCATGGACATGGTAACCACGTTACAGATTATGTCCACGTGAAATAGTATCATTCTCCTTGTCTATATTGTAAGGTCTCTTGCAAGGACAACTAAACCACAGTCTCCATTTCAATGGCATCGCGTGGAAGCAGTTCACGTCTCAGTTGCAGAAGCCTCTCTTCAGCCTCTTCAGGTGTCGGTCTTGTAGCAGGAACGTCGCACCAACACTCCTTCATTAGTTGGTACAGGTCCTCCGGACATCCCTCTGGCTTGGTAAGCCGTTTTCCCTGCCTCAGAACCCCCACCATCTGGAGAAAGGTGAGCTGAGTCCTGCCATCGTAGCACGGATCTTGTCCCAGCGTGGCGATCTCCCACAGCAGCACACCGAAGGACCAGACGTCGCTCTGACAGGTGTACTCGCCGGTCTCGATGGACTCCAGCGCCATCCACTTCAGCGGTAGGAAGTCGTCAAGGCCAGGCTGGGTGCATCGGACGTACTGCGTAGTGACGTAGACATCTCTGGCCAATCCAAAGTCAGCTAGCTTGGCCACGTCATCTGCAGTGATGAGGACGTTACGAGCGGCCACGTCACGATGGGCGATTCTCAGGCGTCCCAGTTCTTGGAGAGCCCGGGCTATGTCAACTGCGTATCCAAGAAGGCTTCCAAACAGGCCTTCCTCATTAATGTCTCGTATTCGGCGAAGAAAACCCAAAAGATCGCCCTTGGGAGCATATTCTAGCAGAATGTACTTCGCGGGTGACTTGGTAATGAGCCCAAGAAGACGAACAATATTGGACTCAGGATAATCGTCATTTCGTTGTTGGTGCACGGAGACCAATATGGCTGCTTCTCTGTAGAAATTTCGGTAGGACTGCGAGTCCTCGACGCGAAATGTCTTGGCGGCAACGGTGATCTCTCCCTCGGGTGTGCGAAGTCGTGCCTTCCTGACCTGACCGAACATTCCCTCCCCTATCAGGGGACCAGGAGTAAGATGGCGGATCTTCTTCTCCCAACGCCCGAGCCAGCCCGGCTGTAGGCTCTGCGCCAGATCCTGCTCCATTTTCTTCAGCTCGAAAAGTATCTTTTCCTCCTCGCCTGCGTCTGGTGCAGAACAAGCCAGAATGCCCATTTTGTAGAGTATTGCCATCACTATGGCAGCAAGGAAAACTAAGGAGCCCAGTGAGACAAGGCTTTCCAGCAGCGGTTCGTCACTGCTTGTTGCTTGCTGCAATTGGTCACAGTTCAGTCCGGTCCACGGTGTTACGCATGTGCAGCTGCCGTCTACGTTATCACATGTAGCACGGTTCTTGCAGGTACAACCCCGCTGACAATGCTGACCGAACCGGCCGTTTGGACACGGTTTGCTGCAGTTCTTTCCGTACCATCCGCTGCTGCAGTTACACCGACCGTCGATAGGGCTACAGCTTGCACCGTTTTCACAAATACAGTACTTTTCACAGTCTTTACCGTACATGCCAGGGGGACATTGTGTCTGACACCTGGGTCCCGTCCATCCCGGCGGACAGACACAACCGGCCCAGCGGTCACAGCTCGCACCGTGCAGGCAATCACACATTTCATCACACCCGGCAACTTTTTTGTCTGGAGCACAGTTTGTGACATTTAGAACAAACGTGTTGCTGATTGTATTTCCACGGGTGTCTCGGACCTGGCATGTGTACCGGCCATTGCTGGTTGGTTGTATGTTTGGGACCACAAAGTCAATCTCATTTACACCGACGCCGACTTTGTGCGACGCATTTGGTAATATGAATGACATGCTGTCAACGTACACATGGCGTGCCTCACAATGAAACGTGACACTTGAGGAAATGTACATATCGCGAGGGTCGCTAGGTGTCGTCGTGATGACGACGTCTTGTTTGGGAATGTCACAGACTACACCTTTCCAGCCGGGCGGACATTTGCAGGCGCCGTTAAGCCCGTGGCAGCGGGCGCCGTTCTTACAGATACAGTCTTTATGACAACGTAAGCCATATTTTCCATCCGGGCAGCCCATCGGTTTTACTTGCATGTCCAGATATTCAATACTAACATTTGATCTTTCTCCAAACAAAAAGACAAAGGATGTAGGAAGGTTGCAGGATAACGACTCTGTTTTTGTTGTATGAAATGACCAGAAGTACGTTACGATGAAATTAAGATCTATGTCCTCCACGACAGATTCAGGAATATACTTTTTTAAGGATTCAAGTCTGTGCGTCCCTTTTTCATACTTGAGATGATAGAGCTCTATATCGACACTTACTAGCTTGGAGTCAGAGGAGCATGTCAGTCCGCGTATGCTTCTATTCCATAGCCGAGACAATGTAACGATATCGCCATAGTAAGTGCTGTACGTAAATACATGAATGTTACAATCACTGCTGTCTGTTTGAACCGCCCAGTCGGCAGGAGGTTTGACTTTCCAAAGATCAGACGTTTTCGTATAAGTCTCGCTACCGCTTATTACGTCTCCAGCAGGCTCGAGCACTGCTTCCCAACTCAACAGTAATTGATAAACTAAATCTCCCGCATCACCTCTAGGGTTTACCGGAGTTTCACACGTCTCGTTATACACAGGAGGATAGCCCTCAACGTTAGTCAGTCCTACCATAACTGTCGTGTTGTCATCTCCAATTCGGACTTTCAGCAGATATGCTGGCTGTACTGACCAGTCCAGAGGGTTGGCGACCACAACAGTGCAGTTCTCCGTCACATGAAAACGGTCGTACGGATCTCCCTCCATTTTGGCACACGGAAGTTCCGCTTTTTCTTCAACTTGGGTCCCTGGTAGGATGAAAACGGTCTCCCCAACAGCTGCGTTTTCTGGTATGGAAACGTTAAAGTTTGGACTTGTAGCTGAGACGGTAGAGCATAACTGCAAGATAAAGTACACTGCAGCAAGTAGTTCCAGAAAACCTCTTGCCATGTTTTCCTCCGTGCTCATACGTCGGTACTAGGTTGAATTTTGGCTACTAAAAGATCTGAGTATGTTCCGCAAACGACTTTTTGTGTTCTTATATACACTTGGATTGAGGAACAACTATTAAACGTGAGTTAATGACTAACAGCTATGTTTTCAATAAGGAGAACTATTGCAATAAAGGAGTTCTTGTTTAACCACAAACATCTACGGACATCTACTGATTTGCTGTCAAGCTGACTCAATCACGCTGTTTGCGAATCGTAAATAATGACACATAGTTATTCCTGTTGCTGTCTGTCAATGGGGAACTCCCACGAACAATGGTGGGCAGAAAAGCACCTTTAACACCAGTAACACCATTGTTCGGGAGTTCCCCATTGACAGACAGCAACAGGAATAACTATGTGACGTAAGTCCTCTTTATATCCAATGTAGCAATCGGCGGAAATGGATTCAACAATCTTCGGAAGCGGAAGTATCTTAAAAGTTTACTTCCTTTACCACTCATTTCACGACCTCGTTTCACCAACCAGGGCTTTAGGTACCGGCGGATCATAAGAAATAACTCAGCTATCACACTGTATACCATTTGTCCATTACCACACAAAAATCCCCCTATTTTAGAAGTAGAGCAGTCCTGTTGTAACCCCCCCCCCCCATCTGACAGTAGAATAGTCCAACCCAGGAACCTCACTCTGGAGTTAGAGTCCTGGAGGAAACACAATAAACCACGGTGCTCCACAAAAGTCCTGTGTGTTAACCTGTTCACTACAATCAAGAAGAAGAACTTGCAACACACAATACCAACATTTCGCACAAAGAGACACAAAGTTAAGAAGCCCATTCCTTCATCTGTATCTGTATAGCCGGTATAGCCGCCCTTTCGCGTAACACACCTGTCCAGCTTGGCAGGCACGCGGCGCGGTGGCAACTGGCAACATTACACCGGAAGACTTGTCACACCTAACCCTTGAACATCTAACTCCTTAAACATTCTATTAGGCTATCTAATTATAATGCCCTACTGTACTTGGCGACAGCGAGTTCCACTCTGCGATAGTTCTAGGAAAGAATGAATGTTTGAATCAGGCCATCCTTTGTCCTAAAAAGTAGCCAGCATTATGTCAATTCTTTCATATTTATGTAACATATGTACAGAGAGTGTTAGTAATTATGTGTACAGTTTTTGTCGCATGAGGACGGTTAGAGCTAAAGTGGTTTGGTGTAAAATATATTTGTTATGATATTTGTTATGGTTGTAAAAATTCAACATAAGTCAGATGTACAATCTACCTCTGCTAGGTTTGAGTTTTAAAAAATGAATAAAATTGAATTGAACTTACGAGACACGATTGAATGAGAACCTATGGTAGGAACTTTGCAAGTATTACTTCTTGCAGGTTTTTGTGTTGTTTTTGTCCAACTTTGGGGCTGGGAGTTTAGCATTTCCTTATAAGGAAAAGTTTCTGTAAGGGAAGTCCCTCGCTCTTATCTATGGACCGGGCTGGAGAAAAAGCAGAAGTTATTTACGATTCGCAAACAGCGTGATTGAGTAAGTTGGGCAGTAAATCAGTAGATGTCCGTAGATGTTTGTGGTTAAACAAGAACTCCTTTATTGCAATAGTTCTCCTTATTGAAACATAGCTGTCAATCATTAACTCACGTTTAATAGTTGTTCCTCAATCCAAGTGTATATAAGAACACAAAAAGCCGTTTGAGGAAGATACCCAGATCTTCTAGTGGCCAAATTTTCAACTAACACAGACGTGTAAGCACCGAGGAAAACATGGCAAGAGATTTTCTGGAACTACTTGTTGCAGTGTACTTCTTGCAGTTATGCTCTAGCATCTCAGCTACAGGTCCAAACTATAACGTTTCCGTACCAGAGAACGTAGCTGTTGGGGAGACCGTTTTCAGCCTGCCAGCGACCCAAGTTGGAGAAAAAGCGGAACTTCCTTGTGCCAAAATGGAGGGAGATCCGTACGACCGTTTTCATGTGACGGAGAACTGTGCCATTGTGGTCGCCAACCCTCTGGACTGGTCAGTACAGCAGGTGTATCTGCTTAGAATCGGCAGTGCAGTTCTCAACGCAACTGTTAAGGTAGAGTTGACTAACGTTGAGGGCTATCCTCCTGTGTATAACCAGACGTGTGAAACTCCGGTAAACCCTAGAGGTAATGCGGGAGATTTAGCATTTCATGTACGGTTGAGTTGGGAAGCAGTAATCGAACCTCCTGGAGACATATTAAGAGGTTGGGCGACATTTACGAAAACCTCCGAACTTTGGAAACTCAAACCTCCTGCTGACTGGGCGGTTCAAACAGACAGCAGTGATTGTAACGTTCATGTATTTTCGTACACCTCTTACCATGTCGATATTCATAGATTGTCTCAACTGTGGAGTAGGGGCATACGCGGGCTGACATGCTCTTCTGAGTCCAAGCTAGTGAGTGTCGATATAGAGCTCTATCATCTCAAGTATGGAGAAGGGACGCAAAGACTTGAATCCTTAAAAAAGTATATTCCTGCATCTGTCGTGGATAACAGAGATCTCAACTTCATCATTGCGTCCTTCTGGTCATTTCATACAACAGAAACAGAGTCGTTGTCCTGCAACCTTTCTCCATCCTTTGTCTTTTCGTTTGGAGAAAAATCATCAGCAAGTATTGAATATCTTGACATGCAAGTAAAACCGGTGGGCTGCCCGGATGGAAAATATGGCTTACGTTGTCATAGAGACTGTATGTGTAAGAACGGCGCCCGCTGCCACGGGCTTAACGGCGCCTGCAAATGTCCGCCCGGCTGGAAAGGTGTAGCCTGTGACATTCCCAAACAAGACGTCGTCATCACGACGACACCTAGCGACCCTCGCAACATCTACATTTCCTCAAGTGTCACGTTTCATTGTGAGGCACACCATGTCTACGTTGACAACATGTCATTCATATTGCCAAATGCGTCGCACAAAGTCGGCGTCGGTGTAAATGAAATTGACTTTGCAGTTCCAAACGTACAACCAACCAACAATGGACGGTACACGTGCCAGGTCCGAGACAACCGTGGAAATACAATCAGCACCACGTTTGTTCTCAATGTCACCAACTGTGCTCCAGACAAAAAAGGTGCCGGGTGTGATGAAATGTGTGATTGCCTGCACGGTGCGAGCTGTGACCGCTGGGCCGGCTGTGTCTGTCCGCCGGGATGGACGGGAACCAGGTGTCAGACAAAATGTCCCCCTGGCACGTACGGTAAAGACTGTAAAAAGTCCTGTCCTTGTAAAAACGGTGCAAGCTGTAACCCTAGCGACGGTCGGTGTAACTGCACTGCCGGATGGTACGGAAAGAACTGCAGAAAACCGTGTCCAAACGGCCGGTTCGGTCGGCAATGTCAGCGGGGTTGTACCTGCAAGAACAATGCTACATGTGATAACGTAGACGGCAGCTGCAAATGCGTAACGCCGTGGACCGGACGGAACTGTGACCAATTGCAGCAAGCAACAAGCAGTGACGAACCGCTGATCGAAAGCCTAGTCCCGCTTGGCTCCTTAGTTTTCCTCGTTGCCATAGTGATGGCAATACTGTACAAAACGGGCATTCTGGCTTGTTCCGCGCCAGACGCAGGCGAGGAGGAAAAGATACTTTTCGAGCTGAAGAAAATGGAGCAGGATCTGGCGCAGAGCCTACAGACTGGCTGGCTCGGGCGTTGGGAAAAGAAGATCCGCCATCTCACTCCTGGTCCCCTAATAGGGGAGGGAATGTTCGGACAGGTCAGAAAGGCACGACTGCGCACACCCAATGGAGAACTCACCGTTGCCGCCAAGACATTTCGCGTCGAGGACTCACAGTCCTACCGAAACTTCTACAGAGAAGCCGCCATACTAGTCGCCGTGCACCAACAACGAACTGACGATTATCCTGAGTCGAATATTGTTCGTCTTCTTGGGCTCATTACCAAGTCAACGGCGAAGTACATTATCCTAGAATATGCTCATAAGGGCGATCTTTTGGGTTTCCTTCGCCGAGTACGAGACATTAATGAGGAAGGTCTGTTTGGAAGCCTTCTTGGATACGCAGTTGACATAGCCCGGGCTCTACAAGAACTGGAACGCCTGAGAATCGCCCATCGTGACGTGGCCGCTCGTAACGTCCTCATCACTGCCGATGACGTGGCCAAGCTAGCTGACTTTGGATTGGCCAGGGATGTCTACGTCACTACGCAGTACGTCCGATGCAGCCAGCCTGGTATTGATGATTTCCTGCCGCTGAAGTGGATGGCGCTGGAGTCCATCGAGACCGGCGAGTACACCTGTCAGAGTGACGTCTGGTCCTTCGGCGTGCTGCTGTGGGAGATCGCCACGCTGGGAAAAGATCCGTGCTACGATGGCAGAACTCAGCTCACCTTTCTCCAGATGGTGGGGGTTTTGAGGCAAGGAAAACGGCTGGCGATGCCAGAGGGATGCCCTGAGGGCCTGTACGGACTGATGAGGGCGTGTTGGGACGACGTTCCAGCTACAAGACCGACACCTGAAGAGGTAGAAGAGAGGCTGCTGCAACTGAGACGTGAACAGCTTCCACACGAAGTCATCGAAATGGAGACTCGGGTGTAGTTATCCTTTCCCCGGAAAGCTTGAAAGGCAGACGGGAGAAAACGATAGCATTTAACCTGGGCATAATCTAGATAGTAGGTATCATATCCGTGCGTCAAAACAGAGAGAATAATAGAATATTCACCAGGTTTGGCTATTTTTATGATGCTAGATGGAAATTGCTTTGTTAAACTCCAATGTCTGATTTAACTGTAACATTTTTTAAGAATCGTTCTGTGTGTAGTATAGAAGTTTTGAGTTTCAAGTAGACAGACTGAGTGTTATATTAGTGTGATGATCAGAATGGTAAATCACACCAGTAAAGGAGATTATTCAGTAAATGATGAGTAGGTAATTAATCATAATTGGAACATGAAACTAGGAGCTGATCAGAAACATAATTTTCTTACCAATGTATATAACTAAACGCCACAACCCGGCTTTTTTTAGCGGTGTGCATGTGTTTGCAGAGAATAGCAGTTATCTCAATTAACGACACAGCCTTAGAAAGAGTAGCATTTATAGTCGGTAATCGCCCTTTGGTGGGACACTACTATAAGCAGGAGTTGTTTCAAGCTTACTACAACCGCAGGAGTTGTTTCAAGCTTTCTAGTGATGATGCCCAGACTGCGCTTGGAGGCAACGATTTCAACTTTACGGTAGAATACGAGTTTCTGAACACCTCAATTCTTGGTTGATAACTCTGATATTTGAACGCATAACTGTTTCTTGCTCTTTTCTGGGCTGGTATCAGGTACTTAGTGGTTGGTACGTCCACCAGTTCATTAGTCATTTTGTACATCATGCATAGTTTGGACATTTTTCGTTTGTTTAGCTTCTATTTGTAATTGTAATTGACTTTCACTTTTTTTTGCTTTTACTTCATGTGTATGGTGATATCAAGATGCAATGCCTTTGTTATTAAAGCAGAGTTGTACATACGCTTACTGAGTTAATGAGCAGATTAATATGATCGGAACAACTTAAGCAAACATAATAAAAAAACACTTGTAGACATGTTTGTTCTTGTTGTTGTTATTATTTGGAACAGGTGAGTGTCAGAGAAATAACGGCGACTGTCAGCACACATGTGTAGGTGGTCCGGATCAGCACACCTGTCTTTGTCTACCTGGATATGATCTGGATAAAGATAAACACACCTGCATAGAGAGTAAGTTCAAAATAAATTTCAAGAAGATTGAATCACTATCTCTGGTTTATTTGCATCATTATGTTTAGTCATTACTACAATACAGGAATATTAGTTAGAATGGCCAAGGTGTAGGTTTGGGTCTCTTTGTTTTCAAATGTTAACACTTTTATTCTGGAGTTTCGCATATAAAACTATATATTGATCCTAAGGAACATCAGATACAAGGCCATGATCATGCATATGATTACAATCTAAGTTCAAAACTTGCCTAGAACTTTGTAATGCTAGAATATGCTCTGATACCCACACTATCATTCGGTTCGGGTCTCTGCTTGTCCTAATAGCTTCAGCTGCATGGTGGGTAGGAGGTGATTTTGACAAAAGATTGATTGGAAGGTCAAGCCTGAAGGTGACCCTTCAGTGCCCGGGTGGGAGTATGTGGATGGTATATGGAGAAATTCAGGAAGTGGTGTATTACCAAAATGAATTACATCATGTAATCCAGCCCACAGTTCCAATACATTCACAAAAATCTAGAATACTCCCAAAAAGTCTGAAATTCGAAATTCCATTTTTTTCTATAGGTGGTCATAGTTTTTCGTCTGCTCTATTGGTTGCAACGGATGAAGGTATAATGAAGTTTCCTCACAACATCGCAGACCTCCATATGATGGCTGATCTTAACTTCACCTACGCAGTACAGGGAGACAAGGTCATTGCCATCGACTACGACCATGCAGGCACGTACCAAATTCAATAGTTGACGTCTGAGGTGCGTAGTGGGTGGGAGGTAATTTCGACAGATGATTGACAGGAGCGTGAAGCTTGAAGGTGACTAACTAGGCTTTTGGTCGTTCAGGGGATTCGGGGAGTGGTGATATACCCGATTAAAGTACATCATAGTTACAGCACAGTTTCTACATTCAAGCAAAAGATCAACAAACACGACATCTTTCCAAAGGCCTGTGCGCTTAAGTTAAAGGCCACAAAACGTATAGAACATGAAAGTCAAATATCTCCCTTTGCTTGTTTGACCATGTCTTGATATAGGGAAGATGCTGTTCTACGTTCAGGAAGGAGACAGCGGGATGCGGAGCATACGGCGTCTGGAGCTTCTTGGCCAAAATGATTTGTTCAACATACACACCAGTGGTGGCGGGATTAACAGTACGTTTTTGTCGAAACTAAATATGTAGAAATGTCGGATATTGAAGAACCGATTGCGGTGTTAAGCTCTTGTCTGTGTCTCAAAATCAAATCAAGCTACTAATGCAATATTTTTCTTTAGGGCCTGGTAACTATGGTCGTACGAGTTTTTTTACGATCTCAATCTGTGAGCATTCTTGGGACAGCCGTGCATGTGTCGTGCCAATCATATTGTCTTGTTAAAGAAGATGGGATCTTCGATCCTTGTAAGCGTTTTTTTAAACCTTCATATGTCTTCCATATAATCAAATCAACATCGTCTCTGATTCTAATCCTGGCTTAAGCAGGTATTGCCGTGGACTGGGTGTCGTCAAACCTGTACTGGACAGAGACGCTATCAGGTCGGATCTACGTGTCCCGCCTGGACGGCAGTTTCAGACATGTCCTTATAGACAACCTGAACCAGCCGCGCGGACTCGCTGTACATCCGCCGGAGAGGTAGGACTAGGAGTTACCATTATATCTGGTGTAATCTCTTAAAATCTGAACCATATCGTTCCGAAAATGGAATGATTGAACTGTTGTTCGTGTGGCGTAACGACACAAAGTGGGGTCGTTTGACGAAACGACAGAGCCATGCGAATCCTGCCATACCAGCGATCTTGGCAAAGGTACTTTACACGAATTTCTTCACTTAACTCTGGTGAAAATAAGTATGTCAGAGTCTGTTGTCTGTCCGTCAGAATTCAAGCTCTAGAGAAATACCTTGACATGACATGTTGACAATAAGTCAACGGATGTTATCCTTTTTTTCTAGACTGCTCTTCTGGACGGAAGTCGGTAGGATTTCACGAGCGTCTCTTGCAGGCACCAACAGAAGAACTGTGGTTCCATACAACATGAACAGCGAGCCAATAGGAATCGCAATCGATCTGGAAAATGATAGGTACAAATTATTACTCTCACCTAAAGCTGTTCCCACCTAGAGCTGTTCTCACCTAGAGCTTTCAACTAGCACTGCAGTCACTCTGGTCTTCCTCAGTAGACTGACCCAGTGAAGCTTGTCACGTGGTGTCTCTGAAGTGTTACGTCTGGTAAAAGATGTCGGCCCCCGTCGCAGTTGAGTGAGTTTGACCTTTCACCCACTGTTGAAGTCACACTTTAGAGAAGCCACGTGACTTGTCTTGCTGGGTCAGTCTACTGAGGAAGACTAGAGTGACTGTAGTCGAAATGTCTAGCTGATATGAGAACATTTACCTTTTATTTTCTTTGGAACAAATTTACTTTAAACATGAAACTGCCAACACAAATAGACTTTCCCGATCATATTCTGGCCTATTTTCAAAATTATCTTATTATCTTGAAAGCTCATCTGTGTTGGTAGGAGTCATAATGAATCAAGTTTAAACTGTAATTTCCAACACAACAAATTGGAATCACCCAAATTTTTCACTGTACAACTCCAGTTTTGTCTAGGATCCTAGACAAAGACTGGAGTTGTACAGTCGAAAATTTGGGTGGGTCCAATTTGTTTTCTTGGAAATTGCAGTATAACTTGCTGCATAATATTTTCAAAATTGTTTTTCCCCTTTAGACTGTATTGGGTGGATAGTCTACAAGGAACCATGCAATCCTGTAATCTGACCGGAGGGGACGTCCTGGTTCACTGGCAGGCTGACCATGTCGGGCTGTACGGAGTTACTACATTTAAGGTATGGGGTTATAATTAGGTTCTATTCTAGAAATGATATTGTTTTCTTCTGGAAGATAAAGATAAAGCCAATCTGAATCTGAATCTGAATCTAGAAGATAACAAAGCTATGAACAACTCGGAAAAAAGAAACCATTCCATAATGGTCAACGAAAATTCTTTACATACAATGCAGAGATTTCTGTCAAACTTTCGACAGCCCTGCTATCTTTTTTTACATAATGATTGGTTCTATTTTCCACCACTAGAGGACGCTGCAATCGCTTCTATAAGCTGCTATTCCCTACTCATTCTACTTTTGTAAGGATTTCCATATGCCCTACATGTATCTTATCCACTGCAGGACTACGTTCTTTGGACGGATAACACTAACCACGTCATCAGGATGGGAGTAAACAACGCCGTGGGTCAATTCGTCACGACAAGACTCACAGAACTGTCTACAAAACCGTACGGAATCCGCATGTATCAGAAATTCCAGCAAATGCTATATACAGGTAATTAAGAGCATCATAAGCTTTCAAACCAGATTACCTTAACCCTCTTCAGACCAAGGGGAATGGGCTTTCGGGCCCGCGCAACCTTTCATCTCAGATAGTGCCTGAAAAGCTTTCGCTAGAACCATTAATTTTTTTTTTACTTTTTCTGAAAACTTTGGGGAACAATTTCATATCAATTAGATAAGTTAATGAATTTTCGTGGGTTTCTGACAGGCAGTTTTTAGGAAATTCAGTAAGTTTTGTTTAAAAATTAAAATTTTCTGGGTTTTATGTTCAATTACACTTCCACTTCCTTTCTAACATTAGTAACATCTTACATAATTGTATATACTTTTCATCATTACATATTCAAAATCCAAGGCAGTGGACCATATCATTGCCTCTGGTGCAACAAGAAACATTTCGGGTGTTTAAAAATTCTGATGTCTTTTTTTTTGCCTCGCACACAGGTCCGTGTGATCTGAATAATGGAGAATGTGAGGGGCTGTGCTTACCAACGCCCGGCAGCAGAATCTGTAGATGTGGACATGGGGGTTATCTTCAGCCTGACGGTCAGTCATGTTGGCCTGATGCCCCCGTCACCTTGCCAAAGTCATCACCAACACCAACAACAGCAACTGCTATTTTACCTTCTACAACCGCCAAAACAACGCGAGAGCCTGTTGCTTTATCAACCAAAACCTCAACACCAACGCCAGCACCTGCAATTTCATCTACAGTTACTACACTAACGTCAGCATCTGCCATTTCGTCTACAACCACCACGACAACGCCAGCACCTGCCATTTCATCTTCAACGACTACACCAACGTCATCACCTGACATTTCATATACAACGACTAGACCAACGCCAGCACCTGCCATTTCATCTACAACGACTACATTAACGCCATCCCCTGCCATTTCAACTACAACGACTAGACCAACGTCATCACCTGACATTTCATCTACAACGACTAGACCAACGTCATCACCTGACATTTCATCTACAACGACTAGACCAACGTCATCACCTGGCATTTCATCTACAACGACTAGACCAACGTCATCACCTGCTATTTCAACTACAACGACTACACCAACGTCATCACCTGCCGTTTCGTCTACAACGACTACACCTACGCCATCACCTGCCATGTCATCTACAACGACTAGACCAACGTCATCACCTGCTATTTCAACTACAACGACTACACCAACGTCATCACCTGCCGTTTCGTCTACAACGACTAGACCAACGTCATCACCTGCTATTTCAACTACAACGACTAGACCAACGTCATCACCTGACATTTCATCTACGACTAGACCAACGTCATCTCCTGCCATTTCATCTAAAACGACTACACCAACGCCAGCGCCTGTAATTTTATCTACAGCCACTACACCAACGGCAGCACCTACCATTTCGTCATCTACAACCACCACAACAACGTCAGCACCTACCATTTCATCATCTACAACCACCACAACAACGTCAGCACCTACCATTTCATCATCTACAACCATCACAACAACGTCAGCCCCTACCATTTCAGCATCTACAACCACTACAACAACGTCAACACCTACCATTTCACCATCCACAACCACCACAACAACGTCAGCACCTTCTGCTTTTTCATCAACTACAACCACTGCACCAACACCATCATCTTTAACTATTTCATCACCATTTACAAGCACTACATCAACAAAAACAACAAGCACACAGGCTTCAGACTCTACTCCTTTTAAGTCTAGCTCACCCATTGGTCCAACATTTGGAGAAACATGTCCACAGGGGCAAACGATTGTTGTAGGGTTACCAGCAGATGCCAATGGACGGGCATACATAAACAAGACTATTACAGCCTGGGACAGAAATGGACAAGTACTAGAAGTCCGTGGCAACCCTAGCCTTCCTGGTTACATCACGTACAGCCCAGAACCGCAACATGTAGTTCTTGAGGCGACGGATAGATGGGGAATGACTACTAGCTGCTCATTTACTATTGTGGTGAAAGGTAACTTTATCACTTTACTTATTATCAATTTCATCTTAAAGTACACCTGGGTGGCCCTTTTAACATTAATTGCTGATTTCCAAGGGGGCCTGGGGAAATACATGTATAACATTACAAAATTTGTATAAAAGAAAATTATACAGGTAACATAATAGAAAAATGTAAATTGAAATCGGTATAGATGAAAGTTAATAACCTCAAGTAAACAGAGGAGATTTATAAAACTAAAATGTTAAAACAGTCATAACAAAATTATAATCATAATCCATAATCAAACGTTTATTATTATATATATCATGATATCATTTCACGATTATAGATTTTCATCATCCATAACCCGTCAACATGGTCAAAGGTATCTGGTAAACGATGTCGTCCCCCGTCGCGGTTGAGTGAAAGGTGATAGGCCATGATGAACAAGCTTTGATGTGTATTTCAGATTCCCATCCGCCTAGGTTATCGTGCCCAGCTGACATCATCCACCAGTCAGAAACACCTGACGTACGTATTGAGTGGGACGAACCTATCCCCGAGGACAACTCTGGCCAGACGGTCAGTCTGACATCCAACCACGGACCAGGGGTGCGCTTTTTCCAGTATGGGGTGTACACGGTGGCGTATACTTCTGTGGATAAAGCAGGGAATCAGGCGAACTGTGACTTCACTATATCTCTCCAGAGTGAGTTTTGTGGGTTCTTGTTATCATTACCTAGTCCTAAACACACAACAGGTAAGACTTGACACAGAAATTGCAGTTATCAATAGATTTATTTTTTCCATATGAAACACGTGGACGTTTTAGATCAAGCACCAATTCTCACAAGAAACCGCTTTTAGTGTGGAATCCTTTGCTTCCTGAATTCAACAATGTTGACCTCTATTCTTAGACGTTTGACCTTTTGTCATTCTGCCTGTCAATCGTCCCCATCCACGTACTGTCTAGTATCTCATAAAAAAACAGGTACACAAACACAGGTTAGGGGCCTTAAACTTTGACCTTGGACCACAATGCACCACGCTGCACATGCGCATTCGGAACAGTGAAATAGCTTACATCAGAACAGGCGTATGAAGAACTTTACTGCACGACAATTGCACAAGGTACAATATTTGGCAAACTACATAAAGAGAGTAACAAACAATAGAATAAATGTTGGATAAGACCTATTGTCGAATAAAACCTAACATATCTTAATTATTCAAACAGTAAGGGCTAGCACAAGTCTTTGATAAAGTGTTACGTAATTATGTATACTTATAGGTCCGGCCGCATCGTGTGCAGAGAGAGACCTCCCAACCGTCCAAAGTGGCAGGTTTAGTGGATGTCAGAGTACAGATGGAATGAAAAGCTGTACTTTACGATGTGAGAGCGGATATCGGCCGACCGTAGACAGTGTGAACTGTCTATTTAGCGGGATGTGGGACCGCAGTCAAATGTTGTCCTGCTTGAGTAAGTATGTATACCCTTACGTTTAAGAGCGGCCACGTTGTACTATGATGTGATATACTATAAAATATGCTATGGTATATAAGATGGAGGGAAAGAGTCTTCATAGCAACTAGGTCTTTTGATGGATAATAAAAAAAAAATTACGGCTCTAAGTGGCCAATATGAGATGTTGTTACATCGGCGCACCAAATCCGTAAGGTGTTTTTGGCACCCTGACAGACAGATTAGCCTAAGGCTCGGTGGGCGTCACTCCACCGTATAGGTGGGGAAGTCGTGTAAAGTGCCTTTCCCAAGGGCACAACGTCGGGCTACGGTGAGTATCGAACCCGGGACCTCTCGGTTCCGAGTCCAACGCTCTAACCGTTGCGCCACCGACGCCACCGCCTTGATGGATAATAATGCAAGTTTACAGGAACAATAGAAATGACCTGAAACTGTAACAATTGGTTCTGCTGACATTTTGATCAACAGGTAACCAGGTCCCTGTCCAGGTCTCCACCTCCATGTCCTTCAGTTTCAACGACGCTCCCTGCCGAGGCGGTCCCGACTTTGCAGATGTGATGAGGACCCAGTTGATGACGTCAATGACGAATACCGGGACATGCCGCGTAGCTACAGATAACAGAGTGACTCTTTGTAATGATAAGTCTTCGCAGGTTATAAAATCGTCATGCCAATCTGTTAATGAGCGCAAGCGACGAGATATGAATAGTTGGGACATTCCTTACATTGACATTCCAAAGTGCAAAGAGGATCCCACTGGCTGTGACTTTAGTCCGCCCCTGAGCCGTCGCCAAAAATACAACAAGCGTCATCCTAAAACTGCAGACTTATCATTCATAACGTCATTTCAAAATAAGGAATCGCTGCATAAACTTCAAGAGAATGAGATGCATAAGTTAGCGAAAGGTGCGGAAGAAAAACTAGTGGAAATAGAAAAGATGGCATACTCTTATGGTGAGGTGATTCGCGTCAGAAGACAAAGTGGTGTCAGAAGTGGGATTGAAGTGACGGTACGAGCGACTGTTTCTCCCGACACAAACAATGGGGGTACCCAAGACGACTTGTGCTCATTGGAACAGCGCTTGAACGCCGTGATAAAAATCGTGAAGGAAAAAGTGACATCGGGTTCGATGTTCATCACTATTGACGGAGATTCGCACACGGTTAATTCGGATTCCTTTGCGTCCTCAGGCATTACTCACTTATACGCCGATGGAAGAACGTCAACTGGAACAACCTGTGGTAATTCTATACGTATTGTTAAGTGGTTAATTAGAGATAAATGAGCTAGATATAGTTCTTGAAACATAAATGCAAATATAACGCTGCCACATGATGTAGTAAATTAATCCAAATTCAGTTTGAAATTTAGCTAAAGAAGCCACAGATGTTTTAGATGTTTTCATATTAATCAAATGCATTTTCTTGTCCAGATTGTCTAAATGCACATTTGACCGTGGTCTAGAGGATATAGATTATAGTATTGAGCACTAAAATGCTAAGACTAAGTACTAAAGTCTATGTATTACAAGAATAGAATAACCATACTATATTCTCTCCTTTTAAAACACATGGAATAGTAACAGTTACTGCATATTTTGTCCACTATACGTGTATTTCTGCATGACATTAAGTATTTGAAAGTTTCTTACTTTGAAATTTTCTTACATATTTTGTCTAATCATAAAAGTCTTAGATAATTATTGTTAGCTCGCAATTAGACTTCGTGCAAAAATTCTAATAAACGTATTAAACGCAAGAGAAAACAGCATGGTCATGAATACGTCCATGACTGCAGACTAATATAGCATCTTTGTGTTGTACAGTCAAAAACTCTAGCTGGAGAAAAGCCGTGGCTATCGCCGTGCCGTGCTGCCTCCTAGCGATCGTTCCTTGCATTGCATTTGCCTGGCTTTCCCGCCGAAAGAGCAAACGACAACGACAACAGCGATGGGACCCACGGTTCAGTGATCTCCACACACGGAGCAACCCCAGTTTCAATCCTTATGATTTGGAACCGGTATATGAAGGTTTGTGCCTTTCATCTAAGGCCCAATCTACAAGCAGATCTTTCGATGGCCGCAAAGACAGTATCAATTTGGCCATACAGTATCCATTCACCAAAGGATACTCTTTCGCCAATGGATACTGCCTGGATGTCTTTGCGGCCACAAAAATCTACTTGGAGTTTACAATGGCTCCTTTCCTTTAGACAGCAATTTTTGAGAGACCAAAATCGGATATGTCGATGAAGGTTAGACATCCAGGTACAATGTAATACGATACGATTTTATAATTGAAATATGAATGACGATGTTTGAGTATATGCATGGTTTGAAAAACAACAAACCAAACAATATTCGTTCTTTGTGTATGCAATTCGA